TTTCCGAAGCCATTAAACAACTCAGTGACAGCAAACAGACGCACTGGTGTAAGTGCATGATTGAATCCTCGTCAGCTTCGCAACTCCAGAGAATAATAATATCACTTTTTTAGCGTTAACTGTCTTGAAATCATGTTGATTACGCAAAATTACATTACGTACAAATAACTTTGAGGCAATAATGGAAAATAGATATTTTCGCAGAGATAGTTATAATTGTTGATTTATTAATTTTCTTTTAGTCAATCTATTAATAAATAACTTCAATAATCAATGATATTGGGTATTAGGCTAATTAATTCCTTAATGGATTGTCAGGTAGAATTACATAATTGAGTTATATCAATTAATCAATAAAAATTATCATAATGAGAATTGCGCTGCCTTGGCTGATGTCTGCGCTATCTGAGTGTTTTTTTCTTTTTTTTTCTTCTTTTTTTTATTTTTAGTCATGATAGTGGCTTCTCATGCCCAAGTTGAATATACCTATTTTGGATTCAAATCGTGCATTTTAAGAGATTAAGATTTTTACCTGTCATTAACCTATCTATCAAAACCTCTTAGGGTCAAGTATCAGTGTTTTGAATATAGATAACAGTATAGTTCCAATGGAAGTTGAATAGAAAACAAATGATACAAGTCTGTCGCCATTTTATGGTCATATTTGGATCTTGGCCAGTTCTTTCCATTTCTTCTGTACTTTTTCATAGATAAAGGCTTCGTATGTAATTATGAAATAGAGATGTGTCCACGTGAACGGTCCTGATATTCGGACAGTCGCTGTAATTCTGTGTGTGTTATTTTTTAGGAGAAGCAATTTCTATTTTCTTCTTGGCACCTCGATATCCATGTTATTGAATCAGCATAAACATTATTAGTTCAGCGTGTAGGCCTATATGATTACATAAATAATATCTTGTGGACACAAATATATTGATACTTCTGTGTGTCACTGCCAGGTGACACTCTTGTTCAAGGAAGTAGAGGTTAGAGATCCCTGCGAGCAGCAAAACTGATTTCGAGCTAAAGTAAAATTTAAGATTTTCCTCAAAAAAGCCTAATCCCAAAGATCAGACGCAGTTCCACGCCTTGGTCATACTGGATAATCTGTAATATCTGTCAATATACCCACCTCTACCCAACAACTCGAATGCCCTTTTAACTCCGGGATGATACGACACGTCGCCTCCTGCTTAGTCTAAAGTTAGTCTGAAATAGACTTAATTGAATCGGTGCTGAGCCTGCCCTTTAGCCTATGTTCATCATTTACATAATAAGTACAGAGGGGAGACAAAAGTATTGCAACGCCTGTGTAAATAGTGCTCTATGTGGCATGGGGGGACCCGTTAGTTCAACGTGTTTTTCAGTTTATTGCTCGCTTTACCATTGATGAATTTTCATCCATCCATGTGTACTATAAAAAGTGCCTCCGAAGGTAAAAGGTCCTTCTAGCTGTCATACTGCCACCATGGGGAAGGTACGGGAGCTCACAAATGAAGGAAGAAATTAAATAGTTTCTCTGAGGGAGGAGGGTGTAAATGTTACCCAGATAGCTGCCAGATTTGGTATTTCTCGTCAGACTGTGTATAGAGTTTGCAGAAGGATGGAGGACACTGATGATGCCCATAAGCTGCACCGAAGTGGGCCTTTTTATACTGTCAAGGCTTAGGAGGTTTGAGTCGTGCAGGAAATTAGCGTTGCAGTGGTCGTGCAGTTTGCAAGTCGGGGTTAGCAAAAAAACTGTAAAAAGAAGGTTCCATGCTTCAGGTATTCACAGAAGGATTGCCAGGAGGAATCCGCTCATCTCCTTGGTACCACAGACGCAGAAGAGTGACATGGGCTGCAAGAACCATTGCCTGGACAGTGGGTCAGAATTGGCGCCATTTTTTTTTTTTTATTTTGTGATGAGTCCATATTCTCAGCTAACAACGTGGGAGGACAAGTGAGGGTATGGAGAACATCATCCACTTGTCATATGCCAAAGAATATGCATTTCCTTACTAGACAGTCCTCTTCAATAATGGTGTGGGTGTGGATTGGTTTCTACGGTATAGGTGAGCTGGTGTTGATAAATGGAAACCTGAATCACGAGCGATACATTGAAATTCTCGAACAGCACCTTTTAGCATCGGTAGAAAACATCTTTGGGGACAGGAACCATCCGTTTGTATTTCAAGATGATACCGCTACACCACTTAGGGCCAGGGTAGTGCAAGAGAGGCTTTACCAGCATGGTATCAACAGGGTGGACTGGCCTGCCCAATCACCAGACGCAAACCCCATTGAAAACCTATGGCAAGATATTGGAAATCAAGTGGCAAAGGATCGCCCCTTTACCATAAACGCTTTAATCCAAAATGTCTTCAGACCCTGGGCCAACATAGCCCCAAGAAGATTCATGAACTTTTTCTGTCTATGCCTTGAAGGATGGTGGCCATATTGAGATCACGTGGCTATCCTACAAAATATTAATTCTGACACATTAGCATGTAAGGGCAACGCATTGTTCTGTAAACCTAAAATAAAGATACTCACTTGACACAATCAGTTTTCAATAAAATAACAATTGAAAGACTGACAAATCCATCTGTTGTCCCCCTTAAAGAAAAATGGTGCAATACTTTTGACACCCCCCTGTAGATGTTTCTCAATAAATAATAAAGGAACTTATACGTTAATCACTTATAAATTAGCGAGCTACGTTTTGTTATTATAACACCAAACGTCTGAGTAATTTAAATCGAGTTTTGTGTCGTTTTCTTCATAATTGTCCATTGTAATTGTAATGCTTTATTCGTGTATAAGCCTTGTAGCCAACAAAATTTTGCGTTGTTTGCTGCATAAAAATAACCGAAGTGTCCACAGAAATTATCAAAATCGCCTTAGTCTTTATATTTCTCTGAAAAAGTATATGGTGTCTTTCTTTGGAAGTTGGCGTTGATTGAATTGAAAATCGGCTCGTGCTGCGTAGTGTCAGTTTGCATTTCTTTCATTTGCTGAATTACCAAGACAATCGAATAATCATGTATATGTGTACCACTGAAGTAAATTTCACATCCAAGTTCGGTAGTTTTGCAAGTAAAGTTAAGGCAATGCGCGTGCCTTGAAACATTTTCAAGAACCTTGTCTGTCATATGGAAGAGTGCCGAGTTCAAGGCGCTTTATCCCCTTTCAAGAAAATTAAGTAATTTCAAAATCTTGTTTTTATGACCACATACTACTATCACTTACACCTCCGTTCACAAAATGGCAATAAATTACCTTTCTTATGTTACGGAGGGATGCGCGCATCAAATGGATAAACAAAATCTTGTCAAGATCCGATCAGAACCATGATCAATTATCTGCCAACTATAGCCCAAAGGAATTCATTGGGGGGAAATGCGAAGGAGATTACTAATGTAGATATCATAAAACGACAATTTTGTAAACCAAGACAACATCTTGTTTGGTTGAGACTGTCGGCTCGGAGTGTGTTTGAACTAAAGGGACAAGGTACGCTAAGATTTCACAACACGCCTTTTGAGACTTCCGTAGACCTCTGATCCTAAAGAAAATCTAGTCGACTGACAGATGCTGTCCAGCTTAATCGTAAGTTTTCAAGTGTCATAAAAACTAGGTATTTAGAACAAGAATGTGCTTTTCAGTCGTTTTTCACACGAGCTGTTACCGCAGCCTTGCTTCAACTATGTACTAACGTGGAGGTAAAAAGTTTCGAATGACTAGTCGGCTTTTTAAAGTCCAAGTTGGCAAATTCCATGACAGTGCAATAATGAGAACACACGTACCTACTGAGTGATGTCGTTAAGTTGATAGCGGAAATAGCTAGTATTGTACAGTTAATGATTGAAGACGGTGTTATACTTGATTTTTAAACCAATTAATTCTTTCCTAACTTTGTTTAGAGAAAAGTCATGCTTCTGTTCTCGCCGAGGTGTTTTTATGTTCAAAAACGAATCGAAGATGATTTCACACTGTGAGGAACATTTGGAAAAGAACGCAGACTTAGCTATAGGTCTTTCAGTAACACAGATTGAGAGAGGGGATTCAAAGCTAAGACATTCATGGCAACTTTAAAATATGACCACACCGAATCAAATCTTTAACAGAAGTGATGATAATTGTGGTTAATGAAGGCAAATAATCACGTACAGTAAAAAGAGCAACCATTACACTTAAATCTCAATCCCATAATGGCAAGGATTAAGTGATTAATGACAAATTCAAAAGAACATAAGCATTTATCAATAGTTAGAATGTGATTCCGTGGAAACGGCATGTAGTAGCCAAATTATGAGGCATTAATGAAGGCACCATGATTACTTGTCCAACAAACACATACCATCCAAAAAAATCCTGATTCTATAGTAAACAATCTTTAAATGATGCGTATAAACAAATGATCTAACGATATGTGTATGAAATCATGTATTTCAGATTTAAGAATCGCTGAATTAGGTTTCCTGTCAATAACCTAATGGATAATTTGGCCATCAGCATTCTCCAACGACTCCTTAGTTATGTGGCTGATTCCGCTGAGGATTGGCGCTCATTTGCGTGGGTTGGCATTGTTGTTAGAACAAGGGAAAACTGTGCGCCGTGCATCCCAATCGTGGGTTTTAAGCACTTTATGTGTGGAGGGGAAAGTGTTTTCTCTTGGTGTATACCTTCCTCAACGCCATCCGGCTCAATAATGCCATTTATTCATCGAGATATCACACTAAATTGTTAAACGCTTTTCAATGTACATAAGCACATTGCTATATCGTTTAACACTCAGATTGTTCAAAGAGATGGCCATTTTTTGTGGTCTTAGGGTTGCTTGCATGGTTGCCTATGTAATGTGTTTGATCGTCCTTGCGCGTATGCTTTCTTTGTGAGCTATACTGCATGAAAACAATTGTTCCATACCAAATGACCGCAGTACGTCTTCCTTCCGCTAGCCAATCACTCGGAAGAAAATAAACCGTCGTCTTGTCAGAATCAATTGCGAGCGGCTTTGAAAAACGTGAGCGTTTTCAGAAGTCTCGGAAAAGGAATTTCACTAGTTAAAATGTCAGGCTGCCAGCCTGTGTTTGCTGTTTAGTGGGCGACGTATAAATCCTGGCGTACCTGACTCGACCGACCAGACCAATCGGTGCTTGGACTCTTGAAGGAGGTTTTCGTGCAGATCCCCGAGAACAATACAATGGACAGCACAATGGGTTACACTTCATCTGAGCTTACAGGTTCTAATGATCGTTAATATCAGTTGCATTCTTTCATTATCATAACTGATATGTTTATCGTATTAGACATTTAATGACAATTTCAAATATCGTTTCAAGGCATAAACCTAACTGACAATAATCATAATTAAACTGGGCTGGACGACCACGCTTGAAATTGCGTGAGCGGCAGAGGGTATAAAGTCTGGAGCCTTGACGACGAGCAAAAGTCACGTAAACCGTCAGTAACAGAATTAGTTTTTGAACACAGTACACAATATTCGTCAAGAATGGTTACCAAACACAATATGTTGTGGATATCAGTGACAGTGATAGTGATGGTGTTGCAAAATACAAATTGTCAATGGCACCAAACGCTCGGCTGGGGGGCGGCAGGAATGGTGGGGAAAAGGACGAATCCTTCCAGCATTTTCAGCCAAGACAGCCAAGATGACTCTCTCTGTGATGATCGAAGGAACAGCGAAGTTATGAAACTAATACGTGACCTGTTGCAGGTAAGTGATCGTTGTTGGTCTTTTCTTTGTCGTTTAAGTGGGAGTTGTCACACAAGACTGTCATGCCGGGGATAGGATGACAGACTTGTGATGCGACAGCGCACTTCGCCAACACGAATTAACGCGCGATATACGGTTTTGGTGGAGAATTTTTTATGATATTCTTTTGTCAATTTTTCGGCAATCGTTTTCAAATCATGTAGCAAGTATGATGCAACCTATGTGCGACGGTATCGAGATTTGGCAAATAAAAACAAAATTGGCATAAGTGGCATTTTTTTCAATATTTGAATACATAGTTCTGGAAATGTCTATGAAATGTTGAAACAAAAACGCACGGACACGAAAACAAGGATTTCAAAGATTTCATGCAAAAGTCATAATTTAGAAAATTCAGAAAAGAAGTTTATTCATTTATTTATTTATTTGTTGTGCATGATGGCCTTGTGTTCTCAGGCATCTAATATACCAAGTGATGTAGGCCGACTCTTTTAACCCATGCAAGTGTTATTGTTTGCTCTATGTGCATCGCATCTTGGGAATTTTCATATTTTCACGCATATTTTACTTTAAAGGTAAAGGCACCTACACTAGCTTCGCTCAAAATTATTTAATTGGGGGCCTACCAAATGAAGCAAGATGAATCTTCATTGCCTTTCCACAGGCACACGCACAGACACGCACGAAAGTGATCACACCCTTTTGCACACACACTACTTCAATTCGAGTTATATTTTGGAATCATCCTTTTGAAGTCTTTGTCTCCAACTGAAGGATAAAAATGTCTACATAGAAGAGCTTGTGATTCCACTTGACCACTGATGTTGTTCATGTTGTCAGTGACATGTTTAAAGACGTCTTCAGCTTCACAAAGATCATAACTTTAAACACGTTTTACTTTCGTGACATATCAAGTAAGAGCATGATTGCTATTGATGATTGACTTTTGTGTTGCCGTCAACAGCACTGTTGTTTGTTAATACTTAGGTCATGTGCACCTTTAGAACCACTCTGTTTTTAATTACATTTGGATTTTAATTTAAATGAATATAAATATTTTCAAAAATATACCAAAGTAAGCTACATTTTGATTATTTACTTCATCGTTTCGCCCCCAGATTCCCCATGTTTAATGACGCTACTAAAACCCTATCTTATTACATAGGAATACCATTATTAAGGAAAAAGATACATTTACCCCATGGGGCGATGCAGCTGTCACTGATGCTTGTTGTTTTACCACATAGGCAAGATACGTGTGTAACATGCTTTTCAGCATGCTTTCATCCAGAGGGCTATGTTAAAGTGTTAGATTGAATCTTATTTTAATCTTTTACGACCACAGATGGTGTAGCGGTTATAATGGTGTTGTCAAATGTGCGTCTGTGTTCATAATTGTCAGCATGAGAAACAGAATGCAAAACGGTTAGAATTCTGAACGTCAAAGAACATTGTTACTACATAATCGCTGATCTAAGTTCTCTTTATTTGAACTATTGGTCGCTGTGTGAGAGATATATAAAAGAGGATATTTTATGTTTTCGACTTGATTTTTATTGTTTTTAATCAGCAAAATTGTAGGTACATAATTGAATATTAAGCTGCACGAAAAACCTCATTTCCGATATTTCGATTATCATAAACCCTGTCAGTACCCTTAAAGGTCTAGTTTTAGGATGAATAGATGGTGCCTGAGGGGCTTATTAAATAAACAAGTCTTGTTTTTAAACGTTGTTGTAAATATCTTATTTTAATGGGTCAATCTGATTTTTTTCATATTTATTTCTATATGCTCTATTTATCATATTACGTTAATTCCCTGATGCAAATAACAGTACTTGACTTTTTTGTTTAAAGCATATCAAGTCATTTCAAAGTGCTGAATACACACAAAAAATATCATCTTAGGTTATTCGCTGAAAGCAAGCATATACACACACACACACACACACACACACACACACACACGCACACACACGAAAAATACCTTTCTTGCTTATTTTAATGTTTGTCTTTACAAAAGTGTTAAGTCCATTGGCTTTTTTCAATCATTCAGGCTGAGATCATGAGGACGGACTATTGTTATAATAGAAAATTCGAGGAAAACAGAGTCCGGGGATTCACCAAACAAGGTATGTGGTTTGAATTAACCAAAGGCATGCACTGTAGTAGACCTAGTCTCCTTTTTGTATATTGGGGTGTGAGACGACTTTTGAAACTCTCATGTATGAAATTAAACTTAAGAGTATAAACTGTTAATTCTTATCATTTTCTAATCGGTCGGTTTTATCGTCTTTCCATTTCAGATGCTCCACGGGTTTGAAGGACCAAACTCTGTTTCGAGTGATACAGCGTCGGCAGCACCAGGCAGGCGCAGCCTTCAGCATATGACAGTTAAATTGTCGGTGACTTCTTTTATTCAAACTGTTACTTATGGTTTCTGCTCAGACTTTGAAACCGGAAGGATGTTTTTAACCCAAAGATCATTTATTGAGGTGGAAATTCCATTGGCCCACTGAAAATGTGCCGCAGTGTAAAACAAATTACGTTTTCCCGATAAAGAAACTCTTTAAACCAAATAAATCGCTGTTGTGTGTAATTACTATCGTAGTTTGGGGTTTATGTCATGTTGAGAGAGTTCATAACCATGCCAGCGAGAGAGAGCTAGAGCATTGTTTCAGTTTCCCACTGAAATCCAATAATATACGGTATATGTACTTCCGATATATACCAAATTACATTTGAAAATGGAATAAAAGCTAATTACATAGATATGATTTATGCCAAATACAATTCTAATGGGACGACAAAAATAAAGAAATATTAAGATTATTTGGTTTTGAGATTTAATGAAATTGCGCAATGTTAGTAACTAAAAAAAAGCATTTCAGTGAATTTCGCCCCTATACACTAAAGCAAGCAAAAGTAGAAAACTGCCATTGTTAAAACTGTCAAATGACAGAAGGGCCAATGTTTGAATCAGTTAGAAAATTTGCCGAAGGACCTCTGTGGGATTTGACATGATCAAGAACAGAGGAACCTCTGGTGGAGAGTAGGTCCACAGAAACTTTCAAAGCATCATCTGAAAAACATGTTCGGATACAGCGATATAGATCAATGAATAACTTTGAGATTGAGAATCGAAGGAAACGTGTCGAACACGTGATCAAAATCCGTTCCAACAAAAATTCGTCCACTACGTACCTAACTAATGAGGTTCTGTTGACTAATGCTATTGGTGAAATATGTACTAGATTTTCACTAGTCGCAGTAAGCAGCACAGCAAGCGACCAAATGCATCATGCATAATTGAATAACTACATGTCTTAGCAGAAGAGAGCCCGGTGGTAATAACCATAAACCTCACACAAACACGCACACACACAAACATATGAATAAACACATATATCACTGTTTCACAGGATGCTTAATTGACAACTCGGTTAAAGCGTGGGTTGTGAGTCTCTTTGGTTCGCCTGCACGTGTGGCATTTAGGCGTGTGTTAATTAACAACAGTGCGAGTTGTGAATAACAAGAACCACGCGGAGAGGAAAAATTCATTAGTCTCTCAGCAGTAATTTGACATTTAAGAGGCTAAAGGGTAGTGATTGGTTTCTAAATTTAGTAACTGACTAATCTTGACGATTACGGATCACGCAAATTTGATACAATGTTACTGAGATCATACTGTCACTGCCTGGCATAAACAATGCGAATATTCATTACGACTACTGTAAAGACTTAGAATCGGCAAAAGTAAGCATCAGCGTTACATTCAGGGAATGAGAACTATTAACCCTCAACTATAACCAGTGTCTGTGCTTCTACCAGGAACAAGATTATTATCTTTATAATTGAGAGACGATCTTTACTGGTGAGCAAATCCTTACCCTCCAATGTTCAAGGATTGAAATTAATTGGTTTCACGACATGTCGCGGGTTAGAAATCCACGCAACCAGATTTCTGATAACTTCAGACGTAACGGGCAATGGGCGTATGCTTTATTCGCGCACGCCCCAGTTAACCACGTTTTATTTTCAAAGTGTAAGACTTACCAAGATTTATGATCAAATGGTTTGTATAGTGGAGAGATCTGAGATCAATTTACTTCAATTTACTTCTTGATACAGTGTGAACAGGACTCCAATGAAGAAATTCCCCGTAAATTGTGGAAAAGAACACACGACCGAAGTATAGAGGAAAGATGAAAGATGAGAAAGTCAAAGATATATGTGAAATGCTAAGGTTAGGAAAAGGAAGAAAACGACATGCCTAACAATAATTTCTAATCCCTGGCTCTAAAGATACCGTACGCCCAGTCTACACACAATGATGGGTCCCATATGAGGGCTTACATGGGCTGTGATGTGGGTCCCAGATAGATTTGTCAATGGGCTTTATGTGGGTCTCATGTGGGCAAGCACAGATAGACTAAAATTAGTGTCCTGTATAAGATTTACCTGTATATGGTCCGACGTGGGCTAATGTAGGGGGTTTGGTGATAGAAGGCCACAAAATGGGCAGCCTTTTTAGGGATTAAGATATTTAAAGATTAAAATTCGGACAAAGTACAGGTATAATCATAAGCTCCAATTTACTCAAAAATAGGCTCAAATGTTGCATATATATATATATATATATATATAGTCTCAAACATGCAGTCTCAACAACAGACATGAGGAATCTCTACATACATTGTATACAAAGTGCAGTGACCCATGAAATAGGCAGGCCCATATAAGACCCATCAGGGACCCAGATAAGGCCACGGAGTTTAGCATCTGCCTAGCAATCCCACCACCTACATTGTACCCATCTGGGTCCTAGATGTGTGTGCTGGCTGAGACGGCTAGTAAAGATGTATTCTGTGTGACTCACTCCCAATGGTTTTATTTTCTCTCTCTTTATCTCTATCATATTATTTGATTCCTGGAAAGTTGTGGAATCATTGTTGTGATTCATACTGGGACAGTTGATGTGTATAAATCAAATACAAATCCATGCGGCAAAGAGGGGGCTCGCCCCGTTAGAAAACAATATGGCGAAGGAAAAGGGACACGGACACACAGCCGATTCGGATCGTTTGTTGACTGAGAAATGTTTTATGCAAACACGCCCATCCTAGGAAATGAAAGATAATCACGTATTTCTTTAAGCGAGTAGTTGTGTCAAACTTTTGCCACTAAGTCTGATCAAATGCCACCATACAGTTTCAAATAGGATTTCTTGAAGAAATACCACAGACTTTCGTTACATTATTTCCCCATAAAAAAATTATATTTGCACATGTAGGACCCGCTTACCTCCCCTGGAAAATTAAGAAGGTCAAATTAACGACCAGAAATTTGAAGAAGGTGCAGTTATAAAGTCCTTTCTACTGACTGACTTTTTTGCATGCAGATTTAATTTGAGTCGTGAAAATAATGTCTCACCCCTTCTTTCCTCTGTCAGTAAAAAATAGTAAAGGCTATAAATATTTTAATAAAACTCTGCAGCCAGACTAAAACACTTCGCATGGGGAATAATTGAAATCAGATTTAAATTTTGTAATGAATTGAATGGAAGTGCGCCTGAATTAATGAATTATTTTGAAACAATGATACATGTAGTTCACTGTGTGGTGGAAGGCATGGCCTTTACACAAACATTAATATGGAGATCTGGACAGCTTTACAAGAACAAAAAATGGCTTCAGCTTTAATAAAGCGATGTTGTTTTTGAAATTCCAACTCTTTGACTCAAACCAATAAATTGTATCATCCTTCTTACAATTCTTCATGCACAATGAAAATATTAAGCTATAGCCTGTAAGGCCTATAACCGCTCTATTTATGGCAATGTTCCATTTATGGCCTATATTGCTAATAATCGCTCTATTTATTTCAATGTTTCTAAATATCAATTATGTAACCACAGTATATGTAATTATGTAGGTAATAATTATATCACCGTTCGGATTATCTGTTTACTTGTATCATGCGGTGTGTATATTTTTACCTGTGGAATACATACTACCATCTGGGATAAAGCATTTCCTACTTCTTTTCTATAGCATGGTATGCTTCGTTAAAATTTTGCCTTTTTATACAAGGTCGCTGAAAGTTTATATCGAGAATGGTATTAAGCATTTATCTATTAGGGTGCGGTGCACCCTAATAGATAATTTTTTATGTTTTGTGTTGTATGTGTGTGTGTGTGCGTGCATGTTTGTAGTATGTGTGTAAATTTTCATTTCATTCTATGCAAAAAAAGGCCTGCACGATTGAGCGCAAGAACAATCATTATTCTCTATCCTATATTGCAGTGAGGCCTATCTACGCGTCGACTGAACCAATATCAATACCAAATCGTGGGTAGAAAGTGAACAGAAGTTATTTATTATATTACCAATTATCTTATTATGTATTTATTGTAAAGCGTATGACTAACTCGATCACTGCGCTTCTTCTTGAAGTATCGTTTAGAAAAAGCACCGATTGCCCCTTTTAACTCAGCCTCTGTGGAGGAAAAAACTAAAAGAAAAAACTCAGTCCCGTGGAAGTGCTGCCAAATGATCCTAATGTTTTCTTGGTCTCCTGAAACCATAAGCGATGAATATTGCATTCACTGGGATTGAATATTGCGGAAAATGTGTTATTCAGGGGCGCACATATTCACAGGGCTGTCTGCGTGCTAATTTGCATGTAATGTGCTAACTCATTGGTAGATTGTGCAATCAAATGAAGGAATGGCGTTTTCAGAATAGGGGCCAATGTTCAAATATGCACAAGCCAAAACAAACAAACAAACGAACAAACAAACAAATAAACAAACAAAAATATCCATGCAATTAATCTTGAGAAATGAAAAAAAAAAGGCTGATATGATTCTACAGTACATTCCAGTACTAATTGCTTCCAATGACCACAGCAACAGTGTTATCGTAACAGCATTTTATCAGCCAAAGATATAAAAAAAATTGTCAAAACTGTATATTTTAAGCACATTCCTGCCCTTAAGCATCAGAAACATGAAGTACGTGGAGAAATTACTTAACATTTATTGTAGCAAGATATGAATAATTGTTACCAGCATCCAGGTGCAATAAATTTATTCACACCAACATCTGTATTTACAATAAGTGATAATGAGTGTTCATCGGAGCCTGGGGAGGCACCTTCTCCTCGATCAAGCAAGCTCTCATATAATTGTGCTTTTTTTTCTTTTGTTCCCAGCAAATTACTTCGCATCGACAGAGGGGTGACTGACTGTTTTATTTTAGTGGTGTAGATACGTGGAAATCAGCTTGAGGCACCGGCAAGCGTTGTTAAAGATCTTCTTGTGAAGCAGACAATTATGGCCGTCTTCACCTGTTAACCCTTTCACTGATGAATTCTGGAGATGACAAATCAGACTTCTCCAATTGCAAGCCGGTGTCAAAATCTAGGGCGAGGCTTACCTGTACAAATGAATGGGAAGAGAACTCTATCATGGGGGGCGGGGGAGGGGCAACAAAATGACCCTAAGATTGTATTTGAAGTGTATTTTATTTATACGCAAAAAGAACAAATCGGTATTCTCGCCAATGTGAACTTCTGATGTGAAGTCTTCACTCCGATTCTTATTACAAAGCATACATAGAAATGTATAGTTATACGTATTTTATATATACATAAATAGAATAAATCAGTATTCTCACCAATGTGAAGTTCCGATTCTTATTACATAACATACATAGAAATCTATCGCTACAGTTACTTTAACTGAGATTATTTCACAGTAGGCACCATGTTCTCATTTGAGCAACAACTGACGTATAATGAAATTACACATCTCAAAAAAGGATGATCTTTCAGTACAGGGAGTCTTTAGCTTATACGCTGTATTTCATTTTTATTGAGCGGACCAAATAAAAAACCAACCTTATGTTAAACAAATGATGAAAGCGATTGAAGCTTTGGGTTGTAGTTTTTTTATCATATTTATGATTCGTCAATAAATTTTAGTGGATTATTCTTTTTCTTACTCTTTGGTAAAACCTGGCCTAAAAAATTCAGTGCGGATGCTTGTAACCTGCGCTATTTTAAAGAATATTTGCTGTGATCTGATTTCTTCTACAAACAGAGATAAATTCCACTATGTCGAAGTATACTACCAAGTCCTTACATCTTTACGTTGAAGGCAAATAACAATGATATTCATAGGAGTTGGTACAGACGTTAGCAATAACCTTCTACTCACAGCTTATACCTTACGAGAAGAGAGAGTTGCTACATGTACTATGTGCGGCTTAGTCAATCTCGAGTTCGCGTTAACATCATGTGTGCTTTCAATCACGAGTAAGATCCAACACCTACCCTCTACCAGGGTGAGTGATAGATTTTTTACAGATATGCACAGATATGTCTCTAGCTAGATAGATGGTCATTTTCAGCTAAACCATTTTCAGCTGTAAATGACTATCTATCTAGCTAGAGACATATCTGTGAATATCTGTAAAAAAATCCATCACTCGCCCTGGTAGAGGGTATCCAACACCCATCATCAATGTAGGCCCTATATATGGGTCCTAGTGCAGCTTGGTAACCTAACTACTTGTAATACAGTGAAGGGTTCAACATATGTGGCAGGTGTGATTATGGTGGCCGCGAAGTGCCAAGTTGTTGTTTGTTGCTTTTTTTTCATAAAACGCAAAAATAAATAAATAAATAAATAAAAAATGTCACATCCGAAGATTGGATTGTCCCAGATTACGTCATTCCCATCAGGGCAACTTGTAGAGCAGGTGACGCCACGGGACCCCATCGGGGGTGCCCGGATGTACCACTGCTGAAAAGGGATGAATACCTCTCAACGTTCTGAGCATGGACTTTAGACTTGCTAAAGTGCAAGTATGAATTTTTCTTTTGTTTTCTTGGTTTTGCATGGTCGCTTTTCTCTTTCTTTGCAACAATTTTGATATCAGTGTTAAACCTCTTTGAAGAAACGTACTGAGAGTTCCACCGTTGAGTGCGTTCTCTTTCAAATCTGTCGTGAAGTTCTGTAAGTTCTCGGTGTCTTTTGTTTAATGCCTCATCTCTTTTTCGGCTTTCGTCTTTGATGCGTTTATTATGATCCATTACATGTTGAAGCTGAAGTTTTTCCAATGAATCATAAAACGTCTTTTGCCTCAAAGCACGCTCCTCTTCGACATTCACTTTGTAAACGGCCTTGGCTCGCTTAAATTGCAAAGTCTTTTTGTCACGAGCAAGCAAGGCGCTTGCTGCAGATCTTTTTGCTTGAACAGAGCGAGAACGGACGATTTTTCGGCGTTGGATATCGATCATCCTTTCCTCTTCCTCGGGTGAGGGTCGCACAGCAATTTGAGTTTGTGATCGTAAGTGTCTGTGCATCGGGTGTCCCAGTTGTGACACGTAAGGACTTGGGAAATCAAGACTGGAATGAACTTGTGGGGGCTCATAGTCCGCCGGAGGTTTAGCGGTTTGGTGTTGGTTTTTTGGCTTTTGTTTAAATAGTTCAATGAAGGAAGACCGCCTCTCTAACAGCTTCTTCTCTGGAATGAGTTCACTTTTACCTAGTGTAAGTTTTTCTTTTCCTTCTTGTTCACTATGAAGATTCTGTTCTTTCTCTTTTTTCTTTTTTGGTGGCTTTGGTTTGTCTTTATCTGTGATGTTTTGATTTAATTTTGCGGAGTTTTCGTCTTTTGGTGCCATCTTTCCTTTGGTATCTGCATTAACGTTTGACACTGAAAATTTAAAAAAAAGAATCATGATTGACTCAAAAATAAAGTACAAAATGCATTATGCGGTTATCAAAATTACATTCGGTCTTCCACTCTCTTACTGTCAATTTTTTAATGTAGAAAACACCACACTCTTGAAGAGAGATGATAGATTTGTTGGAAAATGATGGCGCTTAATGTGAAAGAATAAATATTTTATGAAACATTTTTATCACTTTACTTTCAATCCACCCAATAAAGGTGCAGATAACCTGTTCTGCCCACGCAGTTTGTAGTTATGATGAAAACTCTTTCCGCCTGCGGATGAGTGGTGTGCGCGTTTATTAATGCCTGACGTCGTATTTAGTGGTCATCTCAAACGTCAGTCTGAGAAAGGTCACTGACCGTGACAGTCGCAAGGAAACAAAGGATTTAAATGCTAATACTCAGTCGACTATTCAACCTTGTGGGGAGTTTTCGGTTAAAAAATAAAGCGTTATGTCTACAGTTTTTTTTTCTTGTTTGTGAAAGAAAATAATTTTTTAAACTTAACTTTTACTGACCATTGCCAAATTGATAATTCCTACACGCAAAGGCGCTGCGCTCAAACGTGTTTGTGGATAATAGAAACGTTACTTCAGTTGCCATAAACAACTGACTTGTGTCATTATAAATTAACGAGAAGAACAGAATATCACTTACAACTAATCTAAAAGGTTTTCAAAGTCATAAGTCAAAGAAGTCTAATCGATAACAAACGTAACAAAAATAATACACGTTCTTCACATGGGCATATAACCATCTGATCTTAATTTTAAGCCTCCATAAACAAGCATATAATTAAAATTTTCTGGATTTATACATGTTGATCCAACATTAATATGCTGGGATTATGTGATATATCTCATTGAAAAAAAAAAACAAAAGTTGAAGTATATTTCTGGTATATACTTTTTTCAAAAGAGGCACAATATCAGAGCTTGTCATTGAGCTTCTCTAATGCAATTGAAAGAGAGGCGCACATAAAGATAAACGTTACATACGCGATGACTGTAAACTTACCGGACTCGCCGTGTTTTTTGTTGTTTGGTCTGCCCGGTGCGGGTCCGAACTTTGCTTTACGCCCAGCAGATGTAAGTATAGGCTCAAACTTCAATTCGGATCGGTAAACTGTAAAAAAGAAAGTTTTTTTTTCTCGAACCATTGTACTTCGAACGGGGGTCACCCATCCCATCATTCTTTATATATTCTGGATCCGCATGTTATGGATTTTCAGCGCATATTATGAATTTTCAGCATGTATTCATATAATTTATGTAGTGAAGTTTAATATATGAATACTATTCTTCATTCTTTAACTCCTATATGAGATTACTGTCCAAAATCGTGGGAAGAAGGAATCTAGTGAAAGATAGGTATGGCTCCAAAACCTACCGAAAAGAATTTTAATTAAAATCGTCTTATAATGAATGGGGGTTGGTGTTTGATGGCCATTTGGGGTGCCAGGAAAGGACAGGATTTTTTGGATACCTTTGCCTTTCAGTGAGAAGTTTATCAAATAAAAATCACTATTGATACTGGTTGCATTTGGCTCTTACCAGATTTTGTTGCTTCTCCTTGCAGATTCACTGCCATGCCATCCCCTCGCACTGAGGACGTGGAATCAAAACTTAATATTGGAAGGTGTTCATCGCTTTTACTTAGTTTTTGCTTCCGTCTGTAAACAACATGGAGTAATTGGAAAATGAAAAGAAGCAAATGTTTAGAGGAGAGTTTTTGGGGAGAACGAGTGGCAAAACTCAATAAACCTACTCCACTCGATAATCAAACACGCTTTCCTTTGTGTAACTCCTTACTACTGCTGAATAAAAGTTCTTAAGTTGCTTCTTCGTTATTTGTGCAATTCATTACTTAATATTGTTATAATATTTTTTTTATTTTTTGTTACCTTAGGTTAGAAAAAAAATAAAATACAGACAAAAAATATCTCCCTTCAACAATGAAATGAATATGATAGATCTATTTCCATAATTTTGCCGATCTGGTTGACTTGCCATTTTTACAGTCGGGAAGAAAACATAATTGTAGAAATAAGTTCCTAATAAGCTTTTATTCATGAATCTTTCAGCAAAACTTCCGTTTTTTTCCTGTTTACCATTGTGATGAAATAAGTCAAGGCACATACAGTGTATAACAATACTTCAACAATTCAAGATATACATGGATAGTGTAAATCTATCATCCGAAAGTTTTGGTTATTTTGTAATTTAAAATGATCTAAGGCAAAATAAATCAGACACCTGGCGGTAACCAACACTATAACAAAGCCTGAACTCGACTTACCTGCGTTCTTTAACTATATAGTCGTTCATAAAGGAACGCAGCCTCTTCAGGTCGCTCAGTGAAGTGGTGTTGCGCACCCCGATGTCTATCTGGGGAAGCAGCATGGTGACAACAAGAAGATCCTGCAGTAAGTGGCTCTTCTTCCCCGTGGGTACTGATGTCTGGTCAGTTATCAATTTGGTGGACTGTCGCTAAGGGGACCAACGTCGCTTAATAATCACTTCAGTGGTTGTGCTACCTCGAACTAGCCCGATCCCTCACTCATATTTGTTCATCAAGCACCCTTGTTTGCCCATCCATTAAAAGCCTCACAAATTAAGAGTGTACATAGGCTCAATATGAGCACAAATCGCAGTAGGATTCAAAAGCGTATGGTAATACTCGTTGTTATTCATGGCTGAATGGGTTATTTTGCTTTCATTCCTATTTGTTTTTCTTTCTGTGGTGTTGGTGAATTACATGAACTGCGACATAAATTACCGGAAAATTGCGTATAGTACAGTGCCATCTAATAATTATTTATATTTTTTTGTTGTCACATAAATATCAAGGGTTATGAAATTAAATACGGGTATGACGTGCAGGATTTTTTAAATATATCGTGTTCCTTTTTTTCGTGGGTAATTATAAAATTTACTCAAACTACAGAGAGAGGAAACTGAGAAGACTCCGGATGGCTTGCTGCCTTAACCTCAACCCCACCTAAAATGACAGAATACATGTCGCCTTTCACAGACCACTGCCAGCTAATACTGGATCACACTTATCCCTCATGTAAACGTAAGTGAAAGAACAAACATTATCAATCAGACAGAAACGCTCAAGTTGCTTCTTTTATCATCTAGGGCGTTAATTCCGATTTTGGTTTGAGGATTATGTTTCTTAAAGTACACTGTAGGAGTTTACACTTAATTTTCAACCTTTGACAAAAGATATATAGACAAGTGTACCGTGAGCGTGTACTCCCGCGTAAAAAAAACAGAGGATTCTAACAGATGTAAGAAAAAAGAAAGTACCTTTACAATTTCCATAGCTTCAGATCTTATATAAGATATGCCTTTAAATTTTTTACGCGTTTTAATGTGAATATTTTGCTAGCAAATCGTGAAAGTAACGGTCATAAGGAAAGTTTGATTGGCTGGACATTTCAGAAGAATACACAAATATATGTTATTGCGACGGCGGTTCAACTTGAATAAAAATGCGAAGCTATCTCAACTACCGCAATTCTCTTCCTGTCAATAAATGACACTGGTCAGTTGAGAATTTTGATAAGAAGTCGAAAGGTGAATGCCTTGTAACAGCACAATAACTTTGAGTTATGACCTTATTTTGTCTTATGTATACAAAATGCATTCATTCGACTAAAAGTGAATGCTTCTGATACAAAAGGGAAAGGCACTGTTACAGCCAAGGTGCGGAATAACACAATACTAGTAGGTTCTGTGATATTTTAACTTCTTTTGGCTTTTGGCCTATAGCAAAACACTTGGGGTTCGTAAGTGCACGCATTTGCATCCAAGCATATTAACTGAGGTGTCCTGACATCATTTAATTTGTTCTAAGGGATTCTATAGCGTGTCAGAAAAAAAATGGATATGTTGCACTATGCATCGTAGGTAGCAATATAGAAGTGAGTGCGTGTGGCAAGGCATAATCAGTCGCGTGGCACTCCACACAGGCATCTGCACCAATGTATTATGACTGCAACAAGGAGAGAAGAATTAGTCAAGCTTTGGTTTCGCATTCTTTGTTGTGCGAAAAATCTAGGATCGCATTCTGCGCTGTTTCTACGAAAACCGTTCTCCAGGAATCAATACCCCTCCCTTTTCTTGTTATCCAGGGTTCATTAGTGTATTCAATTAAAAGCCTAAGTTGGCCTCAGATTAGATTTGGTGGGCAGTGTAGAGAGATAGATGTTACATGACGTACATGATACACAAGTTATACATAGATGGATATTTTATGTTAAATGAATTTTTAACTTTAAAAACATCAACCACTGCTTGGGGGAAAGAAACAAAACAGCTAATTGTCAATTTTCCACAATTAACACGTGCACTTTAAAGGTCATTTCCAATCAACTTTGACTAAAATGACGCAAGGGAAAGGATGCTCCAAATGAGAAGCGTAAAACAACTGCTCCGCGTTCAAACCTAATTTTGCGATCAAACGTATTGCGAAACATGGTGAAATACGCTAAAAATATAACAAAATGTCCATGTTTTTCTTTAAATAGAAACGTTTTGTTTGTTCCGCAAGTGGGAAGAACACGATAAACGTCAGTGCGGGTTCCCTGGGGATGGCCGTGTTGGTGCCAGGCGTTATACTACTTTGGCAATATCGTTTATCTCGCCTATACTTATTTTAATGCAACGATTTCATTTCTATATTCCCATAGTTTTTATTACTGGCATTCTTTCTGGTAAATGTAGTCCTTGAGGAATAACAAATAATTTGGTTATGATGCAAAAAAGCAGTAAGATTGAAAGTAAAAGGTGGCTACAGTGTCGAGTCGAGAAAATATTGACTGGGCTTATTAGTAGGCAATCCTTATTCTCTAGAGACGGATCCCCAGATCTCTAAGCAAGGATAATAAAAAAAGTGGTGTTTGTTCGTTGGATTTTTGTAGTCCTAAAATTGTCCTCATCTCCTTTACGGATGATTCGTCCTGTCTCTAAAGGCACGTGACATTTTTTGAGAAATGAAATTACGAAATCTGTTTAAAAATACATTTTCTCGCAAAACCAGTCTTCAATCAATGCACGTAACCATTTATATTCTAGCCTAGGGGAAGAATATGTAGTAGTGGAATCCATTTGTACTCAAGCCAAGAGGGTCGGCACTAAGACAAATCATTTGTAGTTTACGTCACCCAATAGCAAAGAAGTTTCGTGGTGCCTCAGCACTAGAAGCCCATGTTCAGCAATCTAATGGTCCAGGGCCGTCAGTTCAAACACGCCTTTAAAAATGCTCTTTTAAGTGTAAATACTAATAGGATCCTGTAACTTGAGTCGCTGTTTTTAATTTGTTATGGTTTTGATTAGGCCATAAACTTTTTATTTAAGCTAATATACCTATCCATGAATTTAACGATTGTATAAGTACCGCAATTAACTAATATGGGAACATTTAGACACTGTAGATCTATGGCTTGGCATTTTGTCGAAGACACTCATCCAGCGTCTCTTAATACGGCCTCGGTCTAACAAATATGGTGTCTCTAATTACAAATATAGGTAATCAATCGAATAAGGTCAGCAGCAAGGCATAGCCAAAAAAAAACAGCAACAGCGTGTTGGCCATCAAGATAGTAACTGCGTTTTTACATACACGTAATGCACTTGGCCACAAAGGGTACAAAAATATGCGCAGTAGCGTAATCCCAGTTATAGATTTACGCAATGAAGCATTTTTATTGTACTTTAAGGTACCAAATAATAGTGAATCAGGGAAAATGCAGTCGGGATTCTGTGTTTCAATGTATCCCTTTAGTCACTGAAATAGTGATATCAATGATGTTCAATGATGTTCAATGATATTCCCTTTCTCTTTTGAGCAATATTCTGCTATACAAGATATCTAGCTTTTAATCAACGTGTTCCTTTCTTGAAATATTGAAAGATAGCACATTCCGTCTTGACGTGCTTTGTGCACACCGTGGGCTTACCACGTAAGTCTCCAATACTAATTTCTATTTCGGGGGACGTTTTGAAAAAAAAGGGGAAACTGAAATAAATAACTGTAATGGACCTCACAGAAGGAGAAAAAAAGGCATACCTACTCTTGTTGGGGAAGTCAATCGGGAGGAACCCACGTGATAAAGTGCTTCAAGAATTAAGGGACGCGGGTCATCTCCGGCCTACGCCTGAACCCTGGAACGTCACTTTGATTGAGTGATAAATTTTAGATGATATAATCAAAGCACCTATCTTCACCCACGAATGTTTTGCATTGTTTTCAAGTTTATGCCTCAACATTTCATCATTCAAATCATGCGCCTAATTTTTTCACGGTTTTTTCACGCCCCGTTCTGTAAATAAATAAATATTTTCTGACAGTCTTCCATATTATATTTGTTGATCCATCCTCCATTTTTTGACCGTCTTCCGACAGAAAAAAATTAGATACCCGTCAATGTAAACTTGAAAATCTTACCGTGTTCCGGAAGACTCAGAAGACGGCCTAAATCCACCCCTGAATAAATAAATAAATAAATAAATAAATAAATAAATAACAATAACATTTATGATAATAATAATAATAATAATAATAATGAAAATAATTCATTTCTACTCCTTCTTTGTTATTCTTCTTTCTTTTTCTTCTTCTTCTTCTTCTTCAGTTGCACTTTCAGTTTTGGAATGTTTAATCTAAACCTGAAAATGTAGCCTATTACAAAATGTGATACATTCAATAGCACTAAATTCTGACAAAAAAAACAGTGTGACGCAATATGCTACCAATTTTTTTATTTGCACCTGCAGCGTTCTAAAAGGCAAGCCATTTTTGTCTGTTCTCGTTAAAAAATATTCAAGCTAATAGATAGTTTTTCTTTCAATTTCAATGGCCCGCTAAAACTTTCATGCCCTTCAACAATAAAGCTTCTTATTAATATTTTCCCAAACGCGTTAACTCAATGAAGATATGTTTCGTTCTATAGTCATCGCCTTCAGGAATATTTTTCGTCTTAAGCGTCTGCAGGCGTTTTCTAATTTCCCGTTCAACCAACCTATCAATATTTAATCTCGCACACTTACAACTATGACAGGCACCACGTTAAGAAGTTCCAATTTTAATTACCAAGTCCTCTGAGAGATAATTACGCTGCTTGTAATTGCAATCGAACTTTTTTGAGATTAATTTTGGCACCAACAAATGTTGTCAGTCACCGATTTTGAATACACTCTCCTCTGCCAAAGACCCGTTGAAGACTGACGCAACCATAGCGTGCGGCGTGGACTGGCAGTGGGTTGACACTGATGGCAACGAGAGAATATAAATTCCGTAACATACCTCGACTGTAGCCAGTTAGATCTCCACCACCAGTGAGGAAAAATGAAGTCGTTTTTGGTAATAGTCGAACTGCTTGTATACTCACTTCTCTTCTCATCTTGCTATGTGCAAGGCGGCGACAGATATAGAAGAAGAATGGGATGGGGAAAACGCAGCGAGCCACAAGTGAGCGATATTTCGTACCTGCTTTCGGCTGTCGATTCACTGTCTCAAAATCCTCCTGGCAATAACGGCGATGATATGGATCGGCCAAATCGTGGCTGGGGAAAACGCTTCTCCGGCAGTGACATGGCAAGCACGATGGACAAACGAGGGTGGGGCAAAAGATCCACTACTCTCGACCTGGAAGAGGTGAAACGAGCGATGGGATGGGGTAAACGCTCTTTTTTCAATGAGTCCCCGGTCCGACGCGCTATGGGGTGGGGGAAGCGAGAAAGAGCACCAGCAGGGTGGGGAAAACGTAATCAAATTTTGGTCCCGGAGTTAAAAAAAGGCTTAGGCTGGGGAAAACGTATTCTCAAAAGTGACGATGTCGCAGATGTAGAGGACGCCCCTCAGATGGACTACAACAGGCGTTTTCTCCCAGGAAATTCCTCCGCATCAGCAACAGACTTATCTTCTCCAGTTTCAAATAAAGAGTCCACGGACATAAGGGACAAATCAGCACAGTGTCAAAACAATATAGAAGCATTCTCTCGGATGCTGGACATGTTTGTGAAGGTGAGGAAAAATTCACTTTTACTAAGAAATGTTTAACCGATAGCTTCACTCAAAAACGTTTTACTTCTATAATTTCATAAAACTGCTGTACTCTACTTCTATGACTTTTGCACGGATGCCATTGCCTTTAAATGTGTAGAATGAAAGATGTATATCACCTCAACTTTAAATAAGCATGTTGCGTGTAAAGATGATAATAATGCAACAGGTTTCGGTAGAAGCACAGTATTCAATGTTTACTTGGAATTTCAAAATCAAGACACGGCCTTCTTCGCAAATCTTCTTGTCTCATCTTACGATGAAATTTTCCAATCAGTCCATTAATTTTACATATTACCTTCACTATAGATTTTGTTTAATTTGTTTAGGTTGAGAATTCATTTCGGTGATATTTGGAAATATTGCTTCTTGCATTTTTTACGGTAAAAGGTTCAAAAACTTTTCGATGTCAAAGAAGGTCTACCGAATTTCGACGAGTTTTGTTGATTTTCATTCGCAGATCGATGTCTTCTTCCCGCCTTTCCATGGCCGAAATCCTTTCCCATATCTCGCATTTTGGGCCCATTATGTGATCTCCATTCCTGACCTTTCATCAAACATCACAGTAATCAGGGAGTCGTCTGCTCAGTAGCAGACACTTCTCTCCATTTTGGTTGACTCCCTCAAGGACCTGTGACGGTCTCCCGACAATGACGTCAAACTATAAAAAAAAAACTTATATTTTTGCTCATATGTGCGCATCTTTATCTAGGGAGGAATAATTCACTCTTACAGGATACACTCTGGGACAGGCTGATATCCATGTTTTAGATTCTTTTTAAATAGGAATTCGTACGAAAATGTCAAAACCGATTGTAAATTGGCGACTTATGACTAATTTTAATGGAGAACGGTGTCCCGATCGACTGAGTATGAGGTCATGGATGGCTCTCAGCGAAGTTGTTTTCATGGAAAGTTAAAGCCATTAACGTCATGTCTACTTTGCGCAGTAAATTAGTACATAACATCTTCCTTATCACCATAGACATAAATCCATGTCAACTATGAACGAAATGTGTGGATAAGAATGTGTTTGGTCAAGACACAGCGGATTAACTCATCCGCGATCAAATATGGCGACTCACTAAAAAGCTTTCCGCTTAATTCCCGATTAGACACTGAATAGATGCCCCGCTCAGTGGTCGCATTCACAACAGATGACCCGCGGTCTTTCTGATACGCAAACTAAATATGGACGACCCTACCAAAAAACAATACCAAATAATCCTTTAAAGATCCCCCTGCCTTCACATGCGCCTTCCCTGCAAGGGCCTAGCAATTACACCTCGAAGGCGAAATTTAATCCGTGTGAAGGCTGGGAAACCATTAAAGGATTAGGCGGTCTTGCTTTTATGTAGGGCCCGCCATATTTGATCTGCGGAACAGTAGATCCGAGGATCATCTGTTCTGAATGCGACCACTGTTGTACCACACTGTCAGGGATACATGTATACCGGTTCCCGATTCACAATCGACTACTTGGCGTTTGAACACCTCAAGCCTTAATTTATCCCCATGGTGGCACTTATCGATAGTCAGTGCCGTTCCATCACACTTCATCGGTAGGCAGGCGTCCTAACCTCACGTAAGTTCTTGTTAATAGACTATAAGGTGAACGTTAAGAATCAATTTATCCGTCCCCGCGTTCTACTGTGATAATTCCTTCACTAATTAACCCGTATCAGTAGGCCCTATTTTGGGATATCTAGATATTTATTTTTTTTTCATTTATATTGCCATTAGCACTGTGTACAGTTTAGTGGCGTTTTCTTCCTTTCTTTCTTTTCGTAGTACATAGATTATTTGTGTATATTTATTTTGTATTTTATGTTTTTTTAAAGAGAGTTTACAATGCAAAAATAGTTTCCTCATTTTCTCTCTCTTTGAAGAACCTTTCAAATTTTATACGATTTACACCGGTCACCTTTAAAAGAGTATACTGTAAGTGCTTGAAAATTTCTCAAAGTCATATTTTAATGCCTACATACCCTTCAAAGTTACTTATCGTTTTTAAGGTTGGAAAGATAAAACCCCTCAAAGTATCTTGTGTCGATGATATTTCCTTTTGAAATGTGCAGAAAGATAGAGCTGTCTTATTTGTAAGTAAGGCGTTAAGAGCTGAATTACTAGATTAGAATTGATAAAAAATCAAACTTTAGGGGCGGGTCAAGCAAGAAATCTTGAGAAATATAAAATTGCTTTTAAAATTTTAAAAATTCGATTTTCGGATACATACCGGATAGCATACATTTAAGTTCATTCCCAGCATAGAACGTTCTATTTCCCGCCACGCTTTGTAAACTTCGCATTAATTGGGATGAATGTGGCGTTGCCAGGCGAAAAAGGGTTAGGCTGACATTATGCCCAGAGGCAGGCTATTGTGGTTAGTTGGGCAGGTCGGGGGGGGGGGGGGGGGGCTTGGGGGAAGTTACAGTGGAGGCCATAGTGGAGCACATACAGGTACCTTTCATATATCTTACCTTCCATAATACGAATATCTCAGTCAGTGCATATCAATGCAGGATATAATTCTACGACAAAACCTCAAACTTGTAGAAACTCACTACAATCGTATGAACTGATCCCCTGTTTATTTTTTTCCAGATATTGACCTATGAATCGTGTGATTTAGAGAGGGAAGTTATTAGTAAAATGCTTGCCCAAGTACGAATGAGCTTGTTAATAGACTAAAAACAGGTAAGTTACAACAAGACAATCGTGAACCAATACAATGTTTTTGTGCGTTACAATCAAAATTTAATGCCAAGTTTAATTATTTTAAGTCGTGCTTTAGGAAGGAAACACTTGCTTGCGACCCTTATTTTCAATGCTATTCCACAAGAAACGAATACGAGGCTCCAATTCTACATGACTACTATCGTGGTGCCATCTGGTGGTCACTTTTCTCCCGGTGTTTTAAAATAAACTGAGGTTCCAATTCACAGAGAGTCCACCATTCATACAGATTTGGGATAGCGTGAAGTAATAGTCAAAATCTAGAATGGCACTTACCTGAACAAATCAATGTGTCACATGGGACTCCCTCTAACTAATAATAATAATAATGGTTTTATTTACGTCTCACGTTTAAAAATAAAACCCACCCTACTGAGGCTTATGAGAGGGTAAAACCTGAGAAAATACAGTTGAAATTCATAAAAGCTCTTTAAAATAAAATTACCTATTAATTTAACATAAAAAAGAATATGCTATATAAAACTTTTCAATCCATCTCGTCTGTATCAGATTTACTTCTCCTCCACATCATTCTGTGTACGTTTTTACTGTCTAAATTGTATCTGGTCATTTTGCATGAAAAATTTAAAGTTTTCATTGTCATTGTCACGTCACCAGCTTACCTCATTTCTAAGTTAACTGGACAGAACAGAATACAGTGGACGGGATTGCACGGGTTGGGTAAAAGATTAGCGCGTGGGAGTTAGGCCTCAATATTTCGTTTCAATTTTTATGTTTGGTCTGATAATTAGACCTACCTGTATAACATCTTATGATTGTTATCTTTTTTTAACTTCTGGTGAATCCAATCTTCCTTCTAGCGGCAATCTATATGCAATTGGCAGTAGGCCCTACATCACCAGCTTGATCCTTATTTCCTTTAATTAGATATTTGTGAATATTAAGAAAGCTATAATCAAAACTCGACAAACTAAATTAATAGTAGCGTTATCAAGAATGGGAGCAAAATGTTGTGCTTCCTCAAATTTCTTTTATTTTTTCCAGGTTCCCAAGGATATGTCGTATTTCCCATCACCTTCAGCCTTGTGGTAAATTATTTTTAATCTTAAAATCTACGAAACGAATGGTCTCAAACAGTGGTGTACTTGAAACACTATTACCTCGCTCTCAAGAGTATTTTTCAAGACTTCTTATGTGCATGACTGTACACTCGCTGTAATTAGCACAGGGGAGAACCACGCAAAAGATAATCAGACTGAAAAGAAGACTGCTACATTTTCTTGCTGCTGTTGATAAAGTTACAGGAAAAAAACAGCAAAAGTTGATATAGAATTAAGTCTGTTATTATTTCAAAGTATGGACTAGACTTTCATGCATGTAATCTTAATCATGCAGATTTCCCTGTTCAATCGATGCGCTCTATCGTAAATTCGACTGTCACTTAGACAACACTAGGTGATTTCTTGTTGACTGAGCACATGATCGTGTCGTAATTATTCATCAGGTTATTGAATTTGAACTTAAGTTCACTCTCAAGGGTGAACGAAACGGTTGAGCGAAAGGTATGTCAACACGTGAATCTATAGAAAATAAAAGTTTCCACATGTTAGATGCTGGCGATTCACGTGTTTGTCTACACTGCACCATGTAGAAGTACAAGCCCTTGAACGAATCAACCGTGTTCGTATATCTCCATTGTAGTCTCCTTTGTGATGGCTCACAGTAACAATACTCTCTATCTGGGTGACAGTTTCCTCCTTTCCACGCCAGGGCCATTCAGGGACCCCTCTATCTTTGGTTTCCCACAGACATCGCTGGTTTACTCTTTTCCCTCAAAGTTGTCCCGAATTTCCAAGTTATTTATGTTGTTGGGTATATAATTCGCTTAAATACCAATCTCAGTAATTAAAAAAAAATAAAATTGATCAATGTGTTAAATCAATAATACAACATGTGTGAACATAGTCCTCCCGCTTTTTTTTTTTTTTGACCACATCCTTCGGACCTTTCACCGTCTTTTCAAAAGGACTAAAGTAGAACACACCAACGGTGCCCTTTGTTCGAGACTTAATCATTCCTCTTGATCATCTGAAGGAGATACAAAGTAAATAATCAAGACTAATGTATTGATTGTCTTGAAAATACTTACTTTTTGTAATAAGATGAAATTAAACTGCTTGTAATTTGACTTGCATGAGATCTTAACACATAACTATACACGTTTCAGATCGATAAATTAAACACTATCCTTGTATAAGATGACGGTATCCCTATCTCAAAATATTTAGATAAAAATACCATCATAAACAACATGGTTCGTTAGCCTACTAGGCCCAAAGGAATAATTAGATTGTAATAGAGAGTGCTAATTTGAAAATTTTCTCTCGGGTTCTCACCATGCCCTTGCGACCGATTAATAAAAGAGAATGAGTTAGAGTGGCCATATCTTCGAATGATGTAATCTATGCAGGTGTATGAAAGAATGATGGTGTTATTTGTTAGCGGGTCAATGAAATGACGCTAAACATTTTCACAAAGACGTAATAAGATGGACCATTTGTAAAACGAAGTGTAGGAAAATACAACTGGAATCGATTGTAAACTTATGATAAAGTATGAACAGGCGTTAATGATGGAGTTTGTGACGTCGATGATTTGCGCCACGCTTCCGAATGAAATATATTTTGCAGGAAATGTGACAGAATCGATTATATCGTATTTGCTTTTTCAATATAAATAATCTTTATTGAGCACTAAAATGTGTACAAGTTACATTTTACAGGCTCTCTACTCTAATGATAATAACTTTATAACAAATATACAAAACTATACAAATACTTATAATATAATAATAATAATTTATTCGAGCATTAAATGTAACAGTTACATTTGTTAGCCCTCTATACTACAAATAGATAAATAAATAAATAGATAGATATCACTATGGATTACTACTAATACAGTGATTAAAAATACTTTTTACAATTGTAAATAGGTCAATACACTGGGAGAACACACATTTTACTTTTATAGGCTTATAGCTATATGTATCTAATGTGGCATGCTTATGGTACATATAATATAGCAGGAAGAGACTACTTCAGTGTGGCAGATGCTCATTTCTTTTCGAAATTGCCCTCTGGATGTATTTACCAACAGCGTGCAATATTCTTTCTCATTTTCTGGGCTTATGGAATGATTACTGGGAAGTAGCACAGAAAAAACGACAATTGCTATTGATGGGTGTATCGTTTTTTCAAATTAAAGTTTTTTTAAAGTAATCTATATGTCCTAAGTTTACTGTAGTCAATATATATATATATATATTACGTCAGAAATTGCGTTCAGTAGCTTTCATTCTAGTTATTTGAAATAAGTTTCCCACGCTCAAAACTGAAAAGATCAGTCCTGTTTCCGCTTTATTTAGAGTATGGTATGACAAGAAAACAAAAAGTTGTTTGCGTCGCCTTTTTTGATTGCTTTGCACCCTGCTTGGGCGCGTCTTCACAGCTTCGTCGTTACTCATCACTAATTAAGTGTTAATGAATGGCGGCTTTGTGGGATTGTGTAACTTGATGGACAGGGACGAGCTTCTGGAAAATTAACACTTGCGTTTAAATGACATAGGTACTGGTATCCAAGAATTTACGTGCAACTTGAACGCTTTTCCATATCTTCCGCAGCAGCTAATTGCCTCTTCTAACAACAGCTTAAAATCGGTGTATATTACCAGGTATATTCTACTTTGTTTTCAGCTGTTGTTGGAACAGCCTATTGTTATAAGAATAAGGGGATCAGAAACATAGAAAGGGACGATAATCAACAAATTGCCAGAGTGAAAAATTAAAAACTCACTTACCCCCCCCCACCCCACCCCCAACCCCCGACCCCCCCCCCCCCGGAAACGCACGTTGGACAAATAAGGTGATCTTATCTAACTATCATTAAGTCCAGGTGTCAACGGTCAAGTACATGTACCTACGGCTACTCAGTAATTAAGCTTCTGGTGCCTTTCACGGATTTATCTGATCATCAATCTACTCTACCTGCGTCAGTCTTATCGATTTAATCAGAATCCGAAGGTAGGCGGAACGTGGGCTACCAATCAACAATTAATCCTAGACTTGCCTAATATTGATTGAGGTACCCGGGGTCTTACTGCGGATCGTTTAAGATGAGGCGCACCAGTAGCCGTGTAATGTTAATTGGCTTAGCCAGAGTCAAAATGAACGTACGGAGTTCGATAAAATATGATTTCAATCAACATAATAATATTTTAGCGATCCTACAGTAAGATTATGCGTGATCTTGGTGCGAAAAACACATTAAAATTTGTAGCACACAACGGTTATAACTCTAAATTGAGTTTTAATACACATTCATCCTCGATAGGTCTTACTTTTTAATTTTTACTAGATTACCTAAGCCGAGTTTGCATCCGTTGCATTATTGTCTATATTTTGATTTTTAAAGCAGAAATATTGATAAAATCTCAAAAAGAGAAAACGACAATATGAACTAATAAGGCGACAAATAACCCTTAGTAAAATCTCATTAACAAGATTAACAAAGCAGCTAAACCTAGTTTAAACTCAGGCAAACAATCACCATCTTTCTGATCTTTTCCTTGATCCATATTTGTTTCTTGCTTCAAGCTCGTTTTTTTCTTTACACGGTATCTCTGTTGTTCACAAAGTTTTGAACTTATTTTACAGGTGTGGTTCGTATTCTTCCAAGACAAATGAAATGGGAATAATTAAATGTGCCTGTTCACAGTACTGTACAATACTATATTGATTTAGTGATAACTGGTCATTTTACCAAACTGTTATCAACATTGAAAGGTATCTACTATTGCTGTATGATTCATAAGATGGGCATTTCGCTGACCAACTCAGGCTGATTTTCATCTTTTGCCCTTAAAAGAGACAGGTAGTGAAAATAAATAGGATGCTGTCGTTAAGATGCATCTCACCTGCATATTAAGAGAATGTATATTGTGTAACATTATATAAGTATAATTTTTTTTCTCTCTTTCATTTACTTACTATCATTACTATCTTTTCGTATGTATAATGTATAGTAGTTAGAGAGCCTCTAAATGTAAAAACATTTCAGTGCTCAATAAATTATTATTATTATATTATTATTATTATTATTAAAAAGACAACTTTTGCACAATGTTAACTGATCTTTGTTGCTTGCGAAAAGTATTTGTTCGAAACACAAATAAAACAGACTCAAGTTTAGGAAGGCGTCCATGCGAAAACGAAGATAGGAAAACAAAAACTAGTGTACAGCAAAACATGGCACAAGAACAGCCTACACGTCAAGTGTAAAGAAAATTAAAATTTCTCCACGCTTATACAGAAACCTCATTTCATTTCCACGTATAAGACTTATCTTTCAAAAGACGTCAAATATATTTTCCTTTGTAAAATTAACACCTACAATTTTTAATATCGATTGTTAGAATAAAAATTTCAAATTGATATGTCCCTACGTATTTGTTAGCATGTTAAAAATTATAAATCTCTTTCCCACGGTCAGAAAAGGAAAAGAACAGTTAATTTCCGCTGAGACCTTTTCTCCATTTTAAAGTTAATAATCTTTTATTTATTTATCTATATAATTATTGACCTAGCCGAGATGATTGCTACATTGCAAGCATGAGTTAGGCCATGTTGCGTAACCCGTCTGTTTCGTATTAAACGAAATGGAACGGATCAGGATGAGAGCAGCACCCTGAAAATACAATTTTTTAAATCTTGCCTACAAATGAGAGATTTAAAAATGACTTTTTTTAAAATAGCTATAAGAAATTTTGTTAGTATTTTAAAATGTTACACTTATTCCATCATATAAACTCTCCTGCAAAGTCCGTATGAATCAAACTGTAGCTTATCCCAATCCTCTGGTACATTGATGAAGTAAACTGGTTCTCATTTGATACAATAATCAAGGAGATTTTCTTCAAAATTAAAATTGTCAGTAATTTGCCAATACGTGTCTCGGTCTATTTTTTTACCCCCCTCCCCCTTTGTCAAAATTGTGACAAATCTAATATTGCCTTACATATTTTATAAATCAACGTTAAGTTAATCTTGTTTCTTTGCACGTAATATCTATCTCACACATGCCTTCAGGGGGGAAGGGGGGCATATATTGCTTCTTCCATCATGGTCTTTAATTTTTTTTTTAAAGAAAAATATATGCATACGCAAGGTGTGCAACATCATTAACGGCTTTACAATCACAATGAGCAACATGTTTCAACATCCTAATCTCAAGGCATCAAACTGTATTTGTTTCAGGGGGTCACAGAAAATAAAATCATGATATTTTCCCCCTTTCACAAAATTACACAGTATATGCTAGATACTAACTGTAAACATGATAAAGCAACATATTTAACAGCAGGTATTTCAAAAATTTCGAGGAGCATCTAGTCTACCTTGTTTACACCATGGAAGTATATGAATATACTTCCAAGTACTTCCATGTTTACATACACCGCAAATTGAAGGAACCTAATATAACAGGTGTCTCTTTCAAGGCAGTAAATTTATTACTTGTTCATCCTTATATCGAACTTTCATTAGCGTCCGTTATACAACTTCTCTTTATTGATCACTAGATGATTGACAAGTGCAAGCCAATTAACAGAATCTTTATTGTTAAACCACGGCCATCTTAAACTGTTTGGGTAGGAACATGGAGTAATAAGTAACTTGATTAGAGGGGGGTAGTATGTGTTTTCTAGTCTGTATTTTTATAACCTCTGAAATTACGCCAGGTGAACCACTCGGGGTACAAATTTATTTCCTATTGTGTAAAGCCTAGCGTACATGTATATGTGGTGGTCTACTCATTGCAATATCAGGCTCTGTCGAAGCTGGGGGGGGTGGGGTGGGGGTGATGATGGGACGAACGAACCACCCTTTTGGCGGGGAAAGGTCCACTCTGAGTAAAATGTGATCTTGGTACACGAAGCTTTATTTATTTGTTTATTTTATTTATTTATTCTTTTGTGTAGAAGATCCTCCTTTGAAATTGGTGGTTAAGGGTAGAATTGTCTTGAGGATCTTAAAATCTCTACATGGTCCCTCCTTCGGTATCGCATTGAAAAAAGATTACATGGGTATGTTAAAATGGTGCGTCGAAGACACGTGTTCACTCTCGTTTTCCATCGTATCAGACATGGGGAAAGTGACCAAGGAGTCCTATAAATACTCTCAATCTGGGCAACAGATTGCTTTATCGCCTGAAATTCCCAGACATATTCCTGGCCTGTTCTTGAGAATTTCTCTCACGCCCAGAGAGAATTTTTGCATGGAATTTATTTCATCATCAGCTGGCCTCTACCATAGAGTAGGCCCTAAACATGTTTGAGTAAAATATCGCCAGAGCAATGCCGCAGCCAATCAGAGGCAGCGGCTCAACGATACACTCATAATATTTCACGTGTAGCTCGGTGACTCGTATAGTAAGGTTCACATAAAACGCCTTCACATGCAAGGTATAATCATCGGATTAGGGAGTTCACATGTAACTTTACATCACGGAGTTTACATCTAACTATTATTTGAAGTTAAAAATGCCAAGTTAAAAAAGGTTAAAACAAATGGGCAAAGAAACATTCCCAACGAAAAGTAGAACAATGATAAAAACGGTTTAAGAAAAAAATTTACTGAATTTTAACAAAGCACATTTTTGTTGTCTCAAGATAATCACAGCATTTAAGGAATATTAACCTTGCATTTGAAGCATCATTGATAAAATAAAAGTATTTTAAGATCCCTTAATTTACTTTTACTTTGTTCTTCTAGACTGAAAATAAAATTATTTAAATCTACTTGATGCAAACATTCCCGTAGCTTTCTTTTACATGCACACAAGTATGCTCTATACAATTAATAAATCATAATTTCTTGATATGTTTTCATATCAATGTATTCTACCCTCCAAGATGGTACATTAGCACATTCGGCACATTGCATAATTATAATAATAATAAATAGTAATAATGATAATAAATTCACTAAAATTAATTGAAATGATATCTATGATATATACTTCTCCTAAAACCCCTATTGAGAATGGTTAGTGCCCACACTGTAATGAAATTGAAACAGATATTTATTTTTACTGAAATGTGAAGAACATAGTGACGGAAGAAAAAGACTCATGATACCTACTGAGCAGAAAACAGATCATGAAAAACTCGAGTGGCTGCTCAGTCCAAAAAGTGAAACATGCGTAAGAGCCTTATGTATATAACTGAAAGTTTGAAAAAAACGATACTCCCATCACTAGCAATAATCGTTTTATCCTGTGCTACTTCCCATTAATCATTTCATATGTATTTGTATTTATAAATAAATTAAAATAAAAAATAAAAAAATGATGAAAAATAGAAGAGGGTGGGGGAAAGAGAAAAGTTCCCACGGTCACAGCCAAGCTCACCAGATACATTTCCGTTGTTTTGTGTACCACGACCATTATTTTCTAAACAAGATTTGTTCTTTTGTCTCCTTAGCTGACAAAGTTAAACGCTCCCCCCGAGTGCAAGGGCGCAAAACCTGTGATCACAGAAACACTGTAATTAAAGCGTGCGTCCAGCGTGGCGATTAGAACCAGATAAACATCACTCCTCCTAACTGCACCCGTCCTCCGCGGGCCAGTTAAGATTAACACCCGATAAATAGCTTGTTGACAAACAGCCAGTTAGCAGTAAGTAGAGTACTTTGCAAATGTTTCTTTACTGTGTTTACCGCACTGTTGCGGTCCCACGCCCCGCGGGTAGTGCGTTAATTATGGGGGTGTAATTCATCTGGCTAATTACCATTGGAGGCACTGGGAGCCGATAGTCTGGGTTGGGTATAAAAAATGAGCCGAAATCACTGAATGACAGAAGCCTCCTGTGCACCATAGAAGTAAGTCAGCCAGAAGACCTAACCCGATAGCGCTCTCTTTTCTGACAGCGCATCTTGCACTTTTACCAGAATGACCAGTGAACAGCAATTAGATTTAAGCCCTACAAATGCTTTACCAGAACTTAGTATTGATTGCCACGACGAAGAAGTTGTCACTTTACTTGGTAAGTTGTATTTGGATGACAATTAATATTTTGCACGGACGCAATAATTGAATATGTCGTGATCTTCACGATACTTTTTTTATTCGCTTTAGAGATGGTGGATTTTCTCTGTGTTAATTATTCGACAAATTAAACAAAACGAAGCAAAATAAGCATTCAACAGTGTTGTCGCTTCCCTTCGTGATTGGTCAGTACCAATTCATTTCAGCAAAATGCTAAACCACATATTCATCGAGTTAATGTAAACAAAACTGATATCTTTTCATAATTATTTTCTGTGTATATTTTTAAACGCTTCAACATACAAGGTCATTTATTCTCCTATTCAATTTCAGCATCCTTAGCGTGGGACGTAGACGTGATTGCCAGTTGCCTGCTTTCACCCACTTCTCTCCTCCAAGGAACGCCTGCGTCATCGTCCACGCCCCAGGTCCTCTGGGGAGACCCCGACGCAGAGAACAACATGCCCGAGAGCTTCGACGTAGCACCACTCCAGTTCTCCTTCCCTTCCCTGGATCCCAGCGTCGACATGAACAACAATGACATCAACGCAGATGAAGTCTCCAGCATGCCCGTCGTCCCACCGCCGCCACCACCACACCGTGCAGCGATAAATACACAAGAAGAGTTCCTTGCGTCGCTGCAGCTCCAGCCTTCACTGTCTGCCCCAAAGACAACAGTTCATACTTCTCCCGTTACACAGAACACGAAGAAGAGACCCAATCCTACCTCAATGCCTGTCAAGACCAAGAAGCGTGCCAAAATCGCGGAAAAGAAATTGAAAGGACAAAAGGTGAGGCATTATTAACATCGTGAAAATGTGACCAGGTTAAATTCCTAGTCAGTGCGATCAATCTTGCTCAGCCTTATGGTAATACAGTTTCTAGTAATCTAATATCTAATATTGATAAATTTATGGCCAAAATTGAAAAAATACATTTTTAATAATTTTCCCCCCATTTTTATCTTTGTTATATCCATTATCGTAATATCAGACATAGCTATTTCAATAATTCAAATATCAGCTACGGTGAAATTTCTTTTCACAAATTATTTTTCAGCTCGATCAACATCAACACCATAGTTTATTTCCTTTTCAGTATTCTAGATTGCGACTAAAAAGCACGCACAGTGAAAGTGGCTTTTAAATCATAAATTTACATTTTTTTATTTTTTCTTTTCAGAAAATGGGAAGAATCGACGTTTCAGCTCTGCGAAACCGCATCCTCTACGATATGGCCACGACGTCACACTGTCTTCGTTTGGACATGGAAACATTCGCTCGCACTTAACTTCGGGCCATACGATTGAAAACTTCTATAACAAACTATTTGGTTGATAAATGTAAATAACGTCTCCTCACAGATTGTGAATATGTAATTAATATTTATGGTGTAAAATAGGGAAATCAGTTAACGCTATTGTATGAAAGATTAATATGTTTCCTGTGTTGAATGAATATAACGTAAAGCCACATAATTGCCATATGTAAAGTGTGTTTTCATTGTAAGATATTGTATACGAAAAGTATTTAACCTATAGTCTAGTATGTAAACGCTCCACAAAGTGCCAAATTTTGTACATCTTTGTAAATATCCATCTCTTGTAAATATAGTTGTCCTTAACATCTTTTGTGAACATTTTTTCAATGACTCGAGAAATAAAAGCTACATTTTGTAACCATTTTGTGTCGTTTCATCAAATACATTGTAAGCAATCAGACTTTTAGCAAGTTCATTATCTAAAATTCTTTAACCTTTCATTAAATCATTTGAAAGGAGATGTAAAATGCCACAACGTAACAGTCTCTTACACTAACAACCAAGTTTTCATTTAATTACACTAATTCCACAATTGAATAATAATCGTTCGGATTTGTACAAATGGCTTTCCGTGGAAGAAAAAAATCCATCAAAATTGGTTGCGGGAATCACTATTTCTTCATGAAAACGTAAGTCAACACATGGTCCATGATCTCTGAAATTTGCAATGAATTTCTGCGGTATTGTCTTTATCACTGTCGCGATACTTGTTCTCAGAGAAGGTAGAGTACAGAAAAGTTTATATGCACACCAACGTTTGCTTTTTACTGAACCTGAGTGTCTTTTGGTGACAACCTAAATTCAGTTAACTGTTCTTTAAATCTGGAACCATCACAAAATTCCACCACTAGCTTTTTGGCTTGATATTAATAAATAATAAGTAAGTGACAATCACTTTTCATAACATTTTCTTACAAAAAAAGCTTACGTATTTGTGCCATTTGCAACATGAATTTTAAGCCCTTCACATTATCACATACAGTTCAAAGAAAAAAATTAATATAATAGAAGATAAATAATGATGATGACAAAACTTCATTTAATCCATTATGGACCAGATAGGATATTTCATGAAAAAGCAAAAATATCGGCATTTGAATCATGATTAAAGTATGTATTTTAACCAAGTTAATCATCACATTAACATGATAAAGAAACTGCAGCAAATTGTAATTGTGGCATGACAATTACTTATGATATTAGCACATAGCATAAACACCACAGAAAATCTGTTAATAAAGTCAGTCTCTGCTGTAATTCTGATATCAACCAAGCTATAAAACACATCATTTCATGTTCAACTGGACTATTAGACAACCTATTTATCTTCGACCAAAGTAGACTAATATTATGGTTGAAAACTGCATTCTGAAAAAATCTGTCGATCTGTCAAATAGAAATCCAACTTTCAACAAATTTTTCATGAGCCATGAAATCAGTCCACTATTGCCTGTCCACATTAGTATGTCAGTCCTAATATATGTGTATCCCAATCTCTGGTCACTGCTATGGCTCAACACTGACCACTTGTGTCCAAACAGTGGCCTTCTTATATTGTGGTGTGTGGCGCAAGGAATATAAAGATGCTGCAAAAATAAAGATAAAGACAAAATCAGTATTTGTAAATTAATAATTCATCGCTGTAAAAAATAATTCCTTTCTTGGCACTGTGTAATTCATTTATATGATAATTAATGTTGTAATCAGTTAACTGTATTTTTTCAAGCATTCTTACATTTAAGACATTTAACATTACTTGATTCTGAAAAAAAACTTGACATTTTCAAAATTTCAATAATTTTTTCTCACCTTGAATACAAGTTTTATAATGTTGATGAAGGTGGTGTTTGCATGTTCTATGTGTGGCCAGCAGCCAGTCTATCACCTGATAGGAGACAAATAAGAACATCAAATATATTTATTATCAATGGATAAACACACAATACCACAAATACTGAAAACAGATTTAAATAGATGAAGTAGTCAATTTTACTGCTAACCACTTTATAGCAAATCAGATTTTTTTAAACAGACCAAAACAGAAACAATGGAGACATGGTCATTCACTACTACATAATTCTGAAAAAAAATACAAAGAACAAACAAACCGGGTCAGTGATCTGATCCCATGGTGGCAGCTCCAGTAACCTTGGCAACGCAGCAGGGAGATGCGTTAACAACTGAGACCCCATCAATCCTAGATCTACAGTACACACTGCGCTGACCTTCACCTTGGCAGGGGACAAGCCAATGAGAAGAGCCGTTTCTGCTGCACAAGGAGACCACAAGGACACTGCGGCAGAAAAAGTGCAAAAACAACGTCTCACAGCCTAGAAATTAAGATAATATATATCACTGAGCAATTTAAGAACAACGTAAGATAATTATGGTAAACCAACTTTCTCCAACAAAGATATTAAGAAATAATCCCACTAGTTGTCAATTTTGCTGCAGAATTAATCACATACAACTGTATTGAACTTTACATCAGGAGCTGTAACTGAAAAACATCTCAATGCTGAATTAAACAAACCTCATTGAACTGGTCTCTGTCTTCTTCTCCTGTCTGTTGTGACCACTTGATGATCAGGGTCTTCATGTGGCCCATGTACTCCAGCAGCCAGTGTAGTCTCTGTGGTGCCCCAACACTGTCCACACAGTGCCACAGACACCAGGCCAGCATGCTCAGAGCTGCAGGGACACAGCTGTGAAATAAAATATATTTAACAGATTTTAAAAATCAAAGTGCTGCAAAAAATCTATTTATGCACCCACAAACACTGATTAACCAAAACAATTATTTTCAGGAAGGAAAAAAAAAAGATAAGACGTAATGCTTATAATTATTATCCTTATACATGTAAAAATATATATTTTCTGCATTGTTTTTCATCAAAACATTTCAGAATCTAATTCTTACAAAGCTCTCTACTTTCAAATTTCATAGAAAATGCTACAGACTACAAATCAATGCAACTTGATAAATTATGCTATAATTATAATATTCTTTACTAACAACCACATCATCAAAATAATTGATTGCATTCTTTGACTATAATGTTGTCTAGCCTTATAGAAAATGCACAGGAAAAGAAGAAGAAAATTTAATCTAAGATTTAAAGACCTGTTTGGGTGTGCGTCAGGTGAAAACTCAAAGCTTTCCATCTAACCTTTCAACAGCCGTTAGCACGGCATCCACGCAGCTGTTGATTAGGGTTAATGGCTGGTGACCCCAAGCCACCATGACACATCTTACAAACACTCCCTTAAGAAACCCAGCAGCAGACGACACCTCTAGGTCATGTGATGTGATCTTGTCAAATAGTGCATCAGGGACATTTTGGAGACATTCACAAACATGACACCATATTGCTATCTGAAAAAATAAGGATCAAATAATCAACATTTCTTGTCACATACTAGGTATTACAGCTTTTAAATGATCATTGTTGTGCCTATTGCCTTTTATTTTCCAATAACCCTGAATTAAATTGCTTTCTGTGTCTTAATTTTCAATAAATAAATAAATAAATAAATAATAATAAAATAAAATAATAATAATAATAATAATAAAATAAAATTGAATTTCACCATATGGAGAAAACCACCCATCCTAGATACATCACCAACCCTAGAGGAGGATTTAGGTCATCTACTGGGTCTTCTGGGAGATGGTCAGATTTTCAAGTTTCCATTGACGAATACATGTGTACTGTATCTATTTTTTTTTCTGTCAGAAGACGATCCAAAATGGAGGACGGATCAACAAAGATCATTTGGAAAACTGTCAGAAACAGGGGCGTTTCCAGAGCTATTTTCTGACAGTCTTCCAAATTATCTTTGTTGATCAATCCTCCAATTTTGACCATCTTCCAACAGGAAAAATTACATACCTATCTATGTAAACTTGAAAATCTGACCGTCTTCTGGAAGACCCAGAAGATGGCCTAAATCTGCCCCTGAGCAAATATCTCTGGATCTGGCCCTGAACCCTCACCTCATTGTTATCCACACAACCATACACATACTCTAGCAACTGATACAGCAGGAGGTTGACAGCAGGTGGATGGTCCATGCTGAGAGCTTTCCTCAGTCCCTGCAGTACCATGACACAGCCCTCAGTACCAGCACTGTCTGTGTGGAATGGCTCCTTGAATACCTTGTCTAACACCTGCTGCAGTTTGGTCACTGAGGCACCTTTACTTAACTCAGGTAGGCACTGGTAGAGGGTTGCTCTGACAGGAACCTATAATAGAAGACATACCAAATGTTTAATTGGTCATAAACACCAGTGGATTGGGCCCGTATGCTGGAGTTGAACCTCAAAAGTTAAGTTAAACACTGCTATCTTTACAGACTTTTTCTACTTCCAAGTATGATAAATTATGAAGCTTAAAATATTTATATATGCTCATCATTTATTTTAATGAACAATGTTGTGATGACAATAATTAAAATATGATTAAAGGCGCATTCAGATTCACACTAGCTGACTAGCTGGAAAGATCCAGGGGACTCTCGCTGAAGTGCAATCAGTGGAATCAGCTTAATCAGCACACATTATTTAATTACTCCCTACCTGATGGAAGAGGTGTGTCAGATAATTAAGCTGATTCCACTGATTGCACTTTAGCAAGAATCCCCGTCAAAGTTGGACCGACCCAGCTAGTATAATGTGTGAATCTGAATGCCGTCTAAGATTAATCTGTGAAGGTTAACCGCAGAACAAAATTATCAAATATTTATCATTAAAAACAGACATACAGGCAGGGTATCATAAAGAGGACTTGTAGACCAGGCAGTCAGAAACAATGCTGCATTGGAAGATGTACCACACTGGGAGGCAGCCACTTTTAGGCAAAGACTCTTTACAGTATCTGAAAATTGTAGGACAAGATTTTTTTGTACACTTTTAAAAATAACTCTGATTATCTTAACAGTATCTGAAAATTGAAAGACAAAATTGTACAGTATGTTAGGAAGTTTAAGTCATCATTTAGTTGGCAGAAAATATTATTAAAATATATTGTTGAGGGTTACCTCTTAAATGGCATGATCTTACCATCTGGCAGTCTCATCAGTGGGGACAGTATTCCTGGCCAGTTGATAGGGGGCAGCACTCTCTTGGAACCTTCCAGTAAACTTTGTAGAGAAACTATCACTGCCTCAGGTGCTATGGTAGCTGAAATTGAAATCATCATTAAATTATGGAAAAAAAATCTCCAAACTGGTCAATTCCCATAAAAAAGGAATTTCTGTTTATACCTCTTTGCTCTCTCGTGCACCTAGGGCCCAAAATATAGATTTATCTTCTATCCTAACTTGAACATTTTATTTAATGACAGGGGCGGATTTAGGCCGTCTTCTGGGTCTTCCGGAAGACGGTCAGATTTTTAAGTTTACATTTACAGGTGTCTAATGTTTTCTGTCGGAAGACGGTCAAAAATGGAGGATGGATTAGCAAAGATAATTTAGAAGACTGTCAGAAAATATCTCTGGATCCGCCCCTGAATGAGGCAAGAAAAGAAGGGTAAAAACAAATAATTGGTGCTCATATCAAGTTGGGAAAACAAATGAACAAAGAAACTTATGTTAAAAATGTTGCAGTTGTATTAACATTTACCAAATTTTCCAGCTTCTAACAGCAGATCCACCAGGGGTCTCAATATGCTGGTCTCTGGGAAGTAGCTATAGTTGGATGGGACTGAGTAAATGAGAAAAATGAAGACTACAAATTTCAAATTTCTGTAAGAGAAAAAATTACTCACTGTAAAATATACAGTTTAATCTTTTCCTCTATTTATATAAAACATGCATCCTGTAATTAACCTCTAAAGAACAAATTCATTAATGTTTCAAAATTCTTGAAAAAATGATGAATTAAAAGGTCAATTACAGTCAATTACAAAGATAAAACTACTGAAACTGGTAATGTATTTGAAATTTGAGAGAGACTAGAACACTGTAGAAAAAGTAAACACATTTTACAGAGAACATGGTAAAACAAGACATTTTTAATAAAAAAAATTCCTCATTCCAGTTTACCGCAGATCCTTACCACTTGTGGCAGTGTCTGTGGACCCCGTGGAGGACAAGTAGAGAGCCCCTAGCTGGCAAGCTATGTGACTTTGCAGGGAAAAATCTGTACTTGATGAGTAAAGGGTGGTTGCAATCTTAATGACATGGTTCATGTTTAAGTCCAGAGTTCTTTTAGAACTTCCAGTCTGAGATGAACCCAGCTGGAATAGAACAAAACATTATTTATTAATGCTGCCAAAATGCAGAGGAATCTACATAAAAACATGACCTAATATTGGGCTGATTATTTCACCAAATAAACTTCTTCCTACTTGCCTCCAAACAAAGAACATGTAAATTTTGGTCAAAAGACAATGTAGATGCTCTGACCAATAGTTATATGCAGTTTGATTGGCCAGAAGGTACAAACTTGGCTTCACTTTACAAATACAATGCTACATGTACATGTACCTGGAGAGCATTCACCAGTATATGCACTGAAAATCATGTGTAAATGCTTGCATGCATCCATGAACGTGCACAAAATTATTTAAATACTAAAATATACTTATAATAATCCATAAAATATATTATGATAACAAGAGAGTATAAATCATAAACCATCATTGATCTAATAAACTTACATTCACCGTTGATGACTCAGATCCACACAAAGTAAGCAAAGCACTAATGGCTGCAATCTGTTTAGAAACTGGAGCTTCCTGAAAATAAAGTCATAAATGTACAAAAAAAGTTTCAAAATTCAAAGTTATTAGGAAACTTTCAAAGTTACAATGGGAAACTTTAACTAATTGGTAAGTATACAGCAATTCTACTAAACTTAAACACATTTTCATTTCATACATTTTACAAGATTCAACTAATGAGCCTATTTTACAAAAAATCTGACATTAAACAAGAAAGAATTCAAAACTAGAAGTAAATCTGAATGTACTCACAGTTTTATCAAGAACATTAGTCCAGGTAATTTTGAGATCCTCTGAGAATTTCTCTACCCCAGGAAAATCCAACTGCTGCAGGCTATAAGCAAGGAGAGCTGATGCCAATGACAACCCAATACTCTGAAATGATAATTAAATATTTAAAGTCATTTATAGTATGGCACTCATGTTGAGGGACAATTTGGAGTCTTACAATTAACTGTCACTGAGACCTTCAATGTGCCATTCTTTAAACAAATAAATTGGATTATACTGGAAAGAATCTTTGATTTATGAGAGCAAACAGAGCAGGTAGAAAAGTTCCAATGAACAAATTTGACATGTTTTTTTTTGTTGAGAAACACTGCAACCAGTTTATACATCATCTCACAGTAGACTAGAGTAAAAAAATCATCATTTGCACTGGTGAAATGACTCAGGAAAAGTTGTCAGTGCTATTCATGTTTTAATTTTTACGCTTTCACTTGTAGTTCTTACTATCAATTTGTCACTCTGACACAAAGCAGAAGAACACACACAAGACCAGTGTACAACAGAAACATACCTGGGGTGTTTCCATGGCCAATTTACTGAGCCTTTCCATCACTTCTGTCACCCTAGGCACATCCAAGATGGCAGAACTGTAGCCTGCTGCACTGATGTAGGCCAGAGATACAGCCAAGGCCTAAATACAGAACCAGTCAACATCATTAGATCAATTTTTATGCCAGAATCAATCATTAAATATCATCCCATTTGATATAAAAAGTGTAACTTTGCAAAAGTGGCTGTGCAATCAAATTAAATCAACTGATGTATACATTTTTTTTACTTCAGTTCTCAATCATTATGTTATGATTATCATATTTTCACAGATAATCATGAAATGTCATGAAACATGAAAAAATCAACACATAAATTAAAAAAATCAGTTTGGTTCAATTCAACTTCATCATCAGTTTTAAAACATCTTAAAACATGGAAGTAATCAATTCTAAACTTGAAGATAATAAACTCTACATGCAAAGTTGCACATTGATAAATCTCACCTGGTATTTTTCAGTGGAAGCCTCCATTTCTACAAGAGCATCTTTGAGGACATCAAATGTATAGGAAACTTTGGCCCTGGACTCTGCCTTCCCATCTGAACACAATGCACTGATGGCTTGTCCTATTCCCAGGAGACTCCCAGTCCTTCAAGACATAATAATAATAATAATAATAATAATAATAATAATAATAATAATAATAATAGTTATTATCACTATTATGGTGCTAGTGCATTTTGACCCCTTTTCACATCAAGCAGTACAGTTTTCTGGCTTTTATGCAAAACAGTCACCAAAATATATGCCTCATCATTCACAAGGTCAGTTTATTGTTACAGTTATAATTTTGATTGGTACATAGGGTTTGTTGAAGAAAGTAAAACCCCCAAGAGCATAATAGCACGTTAGGAACAATTTAAATGCTGCTGAACAGAAAACTGCATTGAAAAAAAAAGTTGACTTAAAGCTAAAAAGCACATTTTCTAGGAAAGTAACAGACATGACTTCTTATGAATTGAAAAAAGCTAACAAGTTATTAATTGTGAAAGTTGTTTCAGACACTTCAGAACAGAAGCTATCATATGTTACCAGTTTTGCACAGCAGGATCCAGGCAGCTTCTTTCCAGTTCATCCAGTGCTCTCCACACTACTATCATGCCCTAAAGTTAGCAATGTCCACTTTCTTTATAATATCTATTATACTAGTTTCATTTTGTTAGGTATAAAAAAAAAGAAAACTTGGCTTTAGTGAACTTGTATATTGGGACACAAATACTGTAAAAGGTGATGAACATTTTGCTTTCGATCAGTACCAGGCTGCAATACTACTTGTCAACCTCGGGTAAAACTTATAAAACAGTAATGACTCAATCTTTTCAATGGGCAAAAATAATCAAACTTTCATATACATAATTTTATAATCGCAAAAATTAATTTTCTATAGAGCATTTGTGGTGCTTTTACTTAATAGGATAACAATAGAATAGGTTGCTTTTTAATTTTGTTGCTTCCACTCAATAGGAATGTTGTAATTTTAAGTAATTTAGACTTCAAAAATACAGTATCTGTAAGAGTCACAATTGTCTGACATTGATAAAATCGAGTAATTATAGAATTTGCATAACTTTACCTCTGTTCCGGCCATGTCATCAAAGCGTTCCTCCACTAGCCTGGCCAGCGTCATGCCCAGCCCCAGACCACAGTGGAACTGAAACATGGCTGACTCCTCTGCCCCTGCTCCACCTGGCAGTCCTACCATCAGGGTCTGGATCACCTGGGTCACCAGATCTAAACTCTTGGTGACAATGACAGGGACAAGCATGGACAGGGCCAGGCAGCCACAAGATCGGGCCAGGAAGCTGGATGTGGATGTGGATGTGGAGTCACCTGTGCTTATCTGCAATTAAGTTCTTAGCTGTTTTATGATATTTGATAGTATGTATTGGTAAAGGGAGTGCATTTCAAAGGGACAAAGTATTCTGTTTGTTTCATGCACAGCAAAATATTTTCAGCTCTGCAAAAAAATTAAGTAGTTTCAACATGGAGCAAAGCTACATTACATAAAATAGCAAGGACTTTAAAGAAAAAAAGGTTAAGGTCCCAACATAACATTATTAACCAATGACTAGTAGTAAATCAAACTTTAAAAATAACAACTGTAAGGTTTAAGTTTTACATTCATAGTGTAAATACAGTACAATATTAAAAGACATAACAATCAGTTACAATGATAACAAATATAAAATTACTAAACAACTTTATATAAAATAATTAACAATTTTATATATCAATTAATGACCTAAAACTCCCATGCCCACACTAACCTGTTTCCCCCAAAATACTCTCCCTTTGGCCTTGTACTTGGTGTCCACCACAGTCATCACAGTGCTGGTGACATTATGGAGCCAGTGAGACTGCTGGATGTGCTGGGACTCTTTGTCACACAGTTTCAGGACACTGTCATCCAGGTGTGATGCATACTTGGTGACTGTCACCGCCAGGGCACTGAGGGCCAGGAGTGCATTGCCCTGAGCCGTGGGGGACCCTCTGAAACAATGACAATATCTATGGTGAAACAGGTTTTCCATCGGCCCTTGTGTAAAGAGGTTAAAAAAAAAAGAAAATTGTTTCCTAAAAGACTAAACACATATGCTACCCATCTGCTTTTTCTTCAATAGGTGGCATAAGGGACATTTACACCAATACAATTGCAGTGTTGTATTACTGCTAGAATTATGATTACCAGTGTCATGTTCTGTTGTGCAGTGTTTTGTCTCACCCAAGTAATGTTGTGACATCCCAACTAACACATTCTTAACCAATACAGACTTGTCATTTCCCAGATACCATGAACCAGAAATATAGTACAGTTGCCCTTGAAAGTCAAAAGCAGATATGCTAAAAATCACTAAGATACAAAATTTCATATCTATTATGTCAAATAATTTGTTTTTCATTAACTTGTTTGTGTATGAAATACATAATCATTCTATTTCAAATATCAGTATCAGTCAACTACTTGTTTATTCTGATACACAACTGCTTCATAATAAATGATTTACATAACAGTTACATAATAATCATTCAACAAATTTTAGGTACATTTAAATTAATACCCTGTCATATTAATTCATTATATAGTGAGATAAACGTACCTGGAGGTCTTTTTCAAGATATCTGTCAAACTGTCACGAACCCTGTAAAAAGGAAACAGTAATCATAATTCCATTAGTTATCTGAGGAATAAAAAACACTGTTGACAGATTTCTAAGGAAATAGTTTGTATCATGACTCCTCCATTTCCTGTGAAAGAAATTCCATAGACAAACATGACTGTTTAAAGTAAACAACTTCTTTTGATCACACGTGCGAACTTTGGTTTTATAATCAGTCTTGTTTCGTGTAACAATTCATAAATGAAGACATGTAATTGGGAAATTGCAGCTCCAGCTGTCAATATGAGGGTTGTCATTACAAACCAGTACAGAGTAGCAAATCCATTACCACAACCACACAGCAGCCATCTTGGTCTCCTTGTCTTCTGCACTTTCGTCTGCATGACCATGCTGCCATTGAAGTTCCAGCTCTGCCTGTCTACCCTTAAGAAGAAGAAGAAGACAAAAATTGCGCTAGTTGATAAACATAGTTGCCTTAAATGTGAAAAAATGATAATACACATATCAAATATACTAGTTTATCATATATAATTGTACTTTGAAAAAAAGGATGTCACCAGTTGTTTCTGACACCCCTCCCTTTAAACTTTTTTACAGCATCAAAGTAATGATGATCAGGGCACTTACCAAATAAAGGCTCACAAACCTGTCATTATTGGAAAGTAAAAATGAAAATTTATGTGAAAACCTACCCCACCCCTCCCCATAAAACCTAGCCATGTCTTATGAACCACTAAATCACCATGCCATTAAAAAAAGCGTGCTAAACCCATTCAAAAACCCACCCATTTAAGACCCCAATCCCATAGACACCATCCGTGAATCAATCCAACTTTGGGGATTCTCATAAGAGCAATTTGCTTTACTGAATGAAATACCTCCTCTTGTTTCCAATATACTGGTATAATCACCAGGTCTGTATTCTACTTAAAGCAAGGAGGAGGCATGCCATTCAGTTGAACTGATTGCAGTCAGTGATAGTCCTCACAGAGTTGGGTCCTTCCACAAATACTGATAGTGTCTATGGGAATGGGGCCTTCAGCCACACCTGATTCAACCTGGTGCCCACTTCATATCCAGTGTATCTACCTCTAAACAAGCCATGTAGACTCTGTTCATAAAGCCCAGCCAAGCTTTGGGCAGCATCACAGCCCTGTGCCAGTCAGTATGCTGGACAGGGACCTCCTGTAGTAGTCCAGTCAGCATCATCTGGTACGTGCGGCCGTGTGTGATAAGATCATGTCTCTTTGGTTTGCCATCTCGTCCCACGTCTACTTGAGGATCAAAGGCACTTAAAAGGCTTGCTGAGGAAGATATATAGAACTGTTTGAGTTAAAAGTTTTTTCTTACTATGTATAGCTATGATAACTTTGAATGGCAAAAGGTGCGAAAGGAATACAGTAACAATATGTCCACACTATAAGTTTCATGAATTATTCATGCATGGGCCCACAGGCAATGGGGGAGGGGAGGGAGGGCCAGAAGGTCAAATGAACCACCCTTTTGGCCAGGGAGAGTTAAACTCTGAATCAAAATTTGACCTACGTAGGTTCTACATGTATGTACACATTCAGGTAAAAAGCACCATTTTTTCTTTTTTAGAAAAATTTAAAATTCAAATTGCTGACTACATGCCTGTGTGCAGGGTCTCAAGTGTCACATGGACAGAAAACAAAGGAAAATACAACCCACTTGCCAATCCAGCTCGTAGTCCAGGCTGCTTATTGGTCTCGTATTGCTGGAGGAGGAACGCTGGGATACCAAGCAAAGCTTTGGCAGAGCTGCCACTGGGACGCTGCATCTTATCTGCCATGTAAAATGTTCTCCTTGGAATGCCTTCCACCTCTTTTTCTATTAGAACTGACAGGAATGACTGGTAAGCTGAAGAAAAATATGTATGGCTGCATTAGGAAAGTAAAGGTGTCCCTGGGATTTACATGTGATGTCAAGAACAGAAACTTCACCTTAGTGACTGGGATTCTGTCAATATTTTATGGCACCAATTTGTCAAAAGGCCACCTAGTTATAGAGCAAAATTTTTATTTTCCAGACAAAAAGGGCTAAATAGTTATTTAAAAACACTCCACTGTTGACATACTGCTGAGTCTACTGCCAATTTGAATCCTTAGTGGCACTCTGTGGCAAAGAGTCAATCAGAAACAATCAGCTTTTGGGTAAGAAGATGCTGGATGCATCATTTACATAGCAAATTTGCACAATATTAAATGTGAAAACATTTTTATCTACCTAGTTGAGCAATTTTTATTTTAATCAAAAAATGTCAAGTAAGTGTCCATATACCATAAACATTTTCTGGCTTCATTCCCTTCAGCAACTTAACGAAGCATTCTCCTGGTATGGACACCATCTCCTCTTGTTGTTCCTGCCCTCTAGAGGCGGCACTGTCACCATCAGCCTGCTCTGACTTAAGACCCTCTGTTATCTTAAAGGTCAACAATTTGAATGAAATTTTAATTTTAATACTTAAATATTAAAGTGAAAGGTAAATGGTGAATCATTATATTTTTGAGATTATAACATCTTACAATCAATATACTGCTGGGTTTTTTTTCACGTCTTCAAGCCGAAGCTTCTAAACTTTACATCATACAAATGACTTGTTCTGATGGAAAATTAAATGGAAAATTACGAGATCTATGTCAGAACATGCAACATGAATACCTCTTGAGGGAGAACCTCAATGGTGAACGCTTCATTAGGAAAGGCAGACAGTGCATCATATGCAGCCTTGGCCACTTTAAAATCTGAGTGCCCTGTCAGTGACCACAGCAGACTGACCACAGACTTGGAAAATACCTGGAATTTTAAAGGTATCAAAGTGCTTCAAAAATTACACTGAGAGAATAATTTATCTCACGAAATGTGTCAAAATTGTGTCAAAACTTCTTCAAGAGATTAATATTTAATCTAGCATTTTATTTTGTGTTGACTCTTTATGTTTCTAAACAAACAAACAAAAATGCATATATCCAAATGGAGACTTTTAGTGGATTTCAAAACAGACATAAGATTAAATATTTGTACACAATCACCCGACAAAAATAAATTGATATTCAAGTTAAAAAGAAAAAAATTTCTTTCATAATACATAAGTGTCCCCTGGGCTGGGATATCTCACCTGATATTCAGGTGTGTCAACTTCTAACTGTGGAACCAGAGAGAAGAGGTCACACAGCTTGCAGAGGACCAGGGGTCTGAAAATAATAATGTACACAACTGCACAGTCTTTTATTTACCGAATGTTGTATTATATATAAGATTTACAAATACATCAATACTTTCTTTTTGACACTTGTAGAAATTGAAAGCACCTTGCATGTACAGATTATTTGTATTGTTTTGTAAGCCAGACTAATTATTCAACAGATGAACTTAAATAAAAAATACATAGACTATGGGTGCTTTCCCAGAGATTTAGATCGATCTAAAGATTAAGTTTTAGATTGACCTAACTCCCTGGGGGTTCAGGCTAAATTGCAGTCAGCCGAGCGGACACCATAGTTAATTACCCCCTTACAGCTTTTAGTAGGCGGGACAGACGCTTAAGCCGGCCAAGCTGACAGTAATCTAGTGAGACTCCCCACAGGGATAGATCGATCTAAAAATCTATGGAAATGGGGTGTAAGTCTGAAAATATTTAATTTATTAAATACTATCAGCTATAACCATCATATGGCATGCTGTTTAAATTTACCTTTTATCATTGGCCAACTTTGAAGACAAAACATTCCAAACTGTTCTTATATCAGTGACCTGCAACCAAAAAGGTTATTATATGAACATATGAACTACTCTCTCTTTTTCTAATTTGTACTTTTTTCAGGATTTAGTCATTTCAGAAACACTCATAAAAACTTAATGAGACCAAACCAAATAACCTTTCAAAACTTCTGAATCAAAAATTTTACGTAATTTTGATGAACCTTTTTAGAGGAGGGGAAAATCATTAAATAACATTGTTTTACTTTATAGAAGAATTACCGTACCTCAGCTTCACACAGCGCATACAGCCCTTCCAGAGCCAGGCCAGCAGGGACAGCATCGCCCTCTGTAGAGCAGCTAGTTAACAGCTGGGACAGTACTGGGAGGAGATCTGCCCCATGATGGTCTGGTCTGAAAGATACAGCAATAACTTGAAAACTTCGAATACCTCACTTTATCTTATATTTTATTTTTGTTAAAAGATTTATCATTTTCAGTCAAAGATAACAGTTTATGCTCTGTGAGAAAGCAAATGGGCTTTCAAAACTCAGAAAAAAAATTAAGTGCTACTTGTGAAATGTTTTTTTGGGAGAGTTAAGAATTTTTGTTGTTCGCACTGAGTTGTTATGTGCACACATAATGTATATCTTCATGTACTGAACACCAGTTATCTGTGATATATTTATCATTTTAATCTGTTAAAAGATTTATCATTTTCAGTCAAAGATAACAGTTTATGCTCTGTGAGAAAGCAAATGGGCTTTCAAAACTCAGAAAAAAAATTAAGTGCTACTTGTGAAATGTTTTTTTGGGAGAGTTAAGAATTTTTGTTGTTCGCACTGAGTTGTTATGTGCACACATAATGTATATCTTCATGTACTGAACACCAGTTATCTGTGATATTTCTGTAAGAATTTGTTTAGCATCATTTTGAATTATGAATAATTAAAATAACAACAAACAAAAAACACAACAGAAGACAAAACTCCTCCACCTCCCTCATCAAAACACATAAATAGCAGTAAAAATATATTCAAATTAAAATAAAGTCCACCTTTCAGTAAAGTTTTCAAAATTTGAAAAATATAAGGTTGTTATTGATTTCGAAATTTACAGCATTAAGATATTTTTGGCCTATTTATAAAAAAAGATGAATTTCACAAAAAAATTTGATTAATGTTATTTCAAAGAAATTATGAGTGTGCTCTCTTAGTTATTTCACTTTTTAAAACTATACCAAATCATGTGTTTAAACATGTGTTGTCAAAACTGTCTGAAAGCAGTGCACTGCCATAGGAACCTGTCAGACATTTTATTCAGTTTGACAGTCAGACCTTCTTAGACAAGAATTGAAAATAATCATGAATGAAGGACAGGCAGTTCTACCAAAAGGCATTATCTATGGACCTATCATTTTACCCATATTTCTCAAGACAATTTTTAATTTGATTAATGTTTGACAGCGATTAATTTCTATCCAGCTGATGTATAACAGCTTACGTTAAGTCTACTTTTACATCAAGAAATTGATCAAACATCTATTTAATGCAGTATTCATTTCAAAATGAGAAAATGCTTACAAAAGAAAATAAAGAAGGAGAAATCGTGACAATATGATAGCTTGACAGGTATAAAGTCTGTATGCTTTTTTTTGCATTAAGATTGATGAACACATATACAGTAACAAAACACCTAACGATTTTTGTCATTATCATTAATATGAAAATTATGTTATTTTTACCATGAACATCAATTGACCTGCCAGATTCAAGAAGCATATACAGGCTTTACCATGCTGGTGGCTGGCATAATAGAACTCTCCCAGGCCAAAGTGGATTAGAGTATTCAGAAGGCCATGGCAGTTGATAAATTGAATTATTTCCTTGTCCTCACAGGTTAAAATTCCACCCAGAGGCCAAACAAACAATTGAAATACATGCAACCTATCAATAACAATCTCATCAAAATTTACTGTTTCAGAAATAATTCAAAAACACTCAGTTCTGTTTAATGGATTTTGGACAAATAGCATCAATAATTGTCACGGTGCCCATATTCAATCATCTGCTATTAATAGAGGGAACATTCCCTATTTCCACCATGTCCCCAGTAGATATTAATGACAGACAGATCGAAAATTTATATACTGAGATTCAACATGCAAAATAACCATCAGCACTTTTGCATCCAAAAAATATGAAAAAGAGTGTGTGAAACAAAACACAAACAATGATTGCTTATTTATAATTCATTCACTTGGTTATAAAATGGCCAATTTATTTAAAATTACATAGTGATATAGTTCTCTTAATGAAGCAATAGATGTATAAGGCCAGGACATGCAATCTGTTTCAAGTAATGAATTTACTGTTACTATAATAGCACACTCATTACAACCTGCACTGTCTCCACATTGTTTGAAAGAAAAGAAAAAGAAAACACTTAAAAGCAGCTGAAGAATAAGGCGAATAGGCGATATGTCAACTATCAAAGAGCATAAGTGAATCAACCACGTGCAGATTCCAAACGTATGATGAAAGAAAAATAAATCACATACTTGATACTCATTTATGGATGACGTAAGTTTCAACTGGATCTGAACTAATTGGCACTGGTGTCATGAGACATTACGTGCAGTTTCCTTTAGAAGTACATAACAAAATGTCAGATCTCATATCATACAGCATTTATGCATATCAGTCTCCAGTATATGGGATCCAATTTTTTTTTTAATTAGTTACTTGTGAACAAAATAAAAGCAGGCTTTTTTTTCCTGGAAAATTCTCAAACAGCATTTTCAGTAAATTTGGCCTATTCTAAATTAGCTATTTTAGGCCTACCTCTCCAGGTCAAATTTTAATAAGCAAGTGAAAAAAAAAAGAGTAACATTTTTATTACCCCCTTAAGCTTTATCCCAGTCAGGTCAGGCAGATGATTGAAACAGACATATTTTTCAATCATAAAAATTATCACAGTTTACAGTTGCAGAAATGTCCTTCTAATGGATTTTTTTGGCTTAATAGCATTAATAACTGTCAGGGTGGTCAAGGGATGATTTGTCACTTTCTGTACTGGCTGAACTAGGATTTTGTGAAGAAGAAGAATGCATTTAATTAGTCTATCTGTAAATAAATATTAATTAAATAATAAATAAAAATCCAGAAGGCTAAATGAGGGGGAGGGAAGAGAAGGGGTTATTGTCACAGTCCTGTGTGAAAGTTTTGCATATTTTCTTCCCAACAAATTTATGTATGAAATGGAAAGGATAAGATCAATAAGCTAAAGCAATAGTGATTCTTTTATCCTTTGCAAATTAAAACTTCAAACTTAAAGTGAAGCAAAATATTAAAATAAAAAACATACCTTTTATAATGATATATTTTTGCAGGTAAACAAAGTTAATAACAAAAATAGCAATTTGAAAGTAATGACACACTCCTCATAACTCATTAAACATCCCAATATCAAATGGAAGAATAGGAAAAAATCCCATTGACTACTTTGCATGACAAATGCCATAACCACCAAATTGAATTCAATCTGCCTACTACCTTTCCCGGCAGACATCTTTTATAGCAGCTGCTTTGCTGATAATCAGTTCGTTCTGTCCCGTCTCTCTGGACATTGTCCCCTGGTCGTCATCAGTGAGCAGAGCTTGAAGATAGGGAAAACATCTGGGCTGAATCTGCCAAAGGTTGGTCATCAAGCAAATGGAGGTGGGCTTTAGCTGTGGGGTATTGCTGAGTACCTGCAAGGTTTTCAGTACTGCGGGGACACACAGCTAAAAAGCAATAGAAGTGTGAGAGTTTATACACCAAAGACTGACAAACTACCTGGGAGAAATAAATGGAAAATTATCACATGCTAGATTTTTGCATTCAACATTAGTTTCAAAACAATTTCCTTTCAAAAAGGAGGGGAAGTCCTCTGAAACATGAAGAATAAAGCAAGAAGCAGATAAATACAGAGCTTTTTTTTTGGTTTCATTTTCTTAAAGCTTTGCAGGAAACCTCCCATCGGGGATTCCATTCAACTTTCATTTCTTCATCTAATGCAAGATATTCAGAGAGCATCTTGAATTTCTTCATCTAATGCAAGATGCTCTCTGAATAATTCACACCATCAGCTAGATTTAACACTTTTTAAGATTTTTTCAAAATTCTCAGAAGAGGAGGGGGCAGAGGAGAGGTGCCCCATCCATTGAAGTTTGAATAATGTACGTAGACAGACACTCAAATTGAATTAAAGAGTTCATAATCAAGATTTTTTTGGGAGTAAAATCACTTTCTCAAATCTAAAATGCATTAGATAATAGTGGAAATGTTAGCCATCCTAGTGAGCTTTAGATGGGAGCAAAAACATGGGCTGCATTCGCAACCAGTTGATCTGAGGACTAACTAGTCCACTTTTTAAATTCGGCACGACCCACTTAAAGTAATGCTAAGATTAATTTGCTCTGACCCTGCTGGGACTGCCAGCTTGGGAGACAGAAATCCATTGTCCATTGCATGTCATATTTGATTCAAGGACTAACTAGTCTGGGGATCAAATGGTTCTGAACATGGCCATTGCTTACTTTGCCTTGAATATAAATGCCATAACACAATTACAAAAGCTGGGTGTATAATAGGCCGCCATCATAATCAGGGTGTCACTTACTTTATGAGTCGTCACATTTGGTATGGCATTTAAAACACTCATGGTCACCACGGGACTCTTTTCTTTTCCCAGACAATACAAAAAAACGGGCAGCATATCAGGAGCCTGAAGAAGAAAATTGGAATGGCATGTACTAGTATTCAATGAGTGGTCCCTAAATCAATCCAATTCAATGTCGCAATTATCTTTTTCTTTCTGATTTTGCTGTAATTCTAGCATTCCCTCATAACAGATGTGATGAGAACTGATGAGGAATAATGAATGTCGCTTTTAGCCATTTCTACTGTTACTGTTTTAATGTGTGCATGCATGCATGTGTTTTAAAGCCAAGAAGTTAATTTAGAACTAAGATTGCGCTTTAATTTGCAATAAAACCTTGGGTTCAGCTAGCAAGCTGTCCACCCCTCTTAGGCCATACAGCTTGTTAAAATTCTCAGATTTAGCATGTTGCTCATTCCATTATTTGGATGGCCTTTTTCAAAATCCTGATTAAACCCCCAAATAAAACAATTTTGATATTTTGTTGTACTTATCATAAAACATACTATCTTACCAAGATTAACAAGATAACTATTAAAATAAAAACAAAACTGGAAGCTCAGAGCTACAAGCTGGGTACTTTCACCAGTTATGACAATTACATTACTTTTTAAAATAACAATTCCCATTGATAATGTACATTTACTGCTTAAAGTTGATATGTACATCCTCACTTGTGTATGGTCCTTTTTTGCAATAGTGACCAAAGTTGCCAAAGCCTTGACTTTAATACCAGTCTCAATTTGTGGGCTCATCAAAATTGCTCCCACCAACCAAGTTGTAGACTTTGCGACTTTCCTTCCCATGTTGAAAGAGCTGGTGTTTTCTATCCAGAGATCTAGGGAAGGGTTATTATAGAGATGTGCTGCTTGAGACAAAAACATCTGGTTGATATAATAATCTGGTGTCAACCCCAAAGATGGCAGAGACACTGTCTCAAAATTTGTCTGAAATAAATAAAAAGGAAAAAAAGTGTAGATATGTAGCGTATCTGTGATGAAAAGATCAAAATAAGCACAGGCCTCTAAAGCTAGTTAAAGAAAATGGAATAAAAAGAAAAAAAACTAAATTACAGTTGCAGAAGCATTCAGTTTTAATCTCACTTCATAGTTTTGTGAGTGACTAGAAATAAGTCTTGAAGAAGTAAATCATTAAAAAAGTGAGGTGTACGAAAAGTGTTAGTAATTACCGTAGTTTTTACGAAATAGACTTTTATTGCAACCCTCCCACTCTCCTGTAATTCCTTTATTCCCTGATTAAAGCATCAGCATTAAGAGTAGTAGGCAGGAAAATTGAGGGGTAACGTAGGCTGTTTGATTGCAAATGGCCTAAATCAAAACCTCCGTTAGATGGGGTTTGTACTCTAAAATTTTCCATTCTTGTTAAGACCATCCTGGGGACTGACTATATATATATACAATACTTAAAAATTATCTGTTCCTGATAAGACTGTCTCTGAGCGCTATGTGTACTAGAGCACAATCAATTACATCATTAACCAAGGGCTAGGATATTTTGATGGTGATTTGAAAAACGAAAGCATATAGTCTACATTTAATCAAATTCAAATCACTCTCCTTACTAAAGCAAAAGACACTACCCCAGCAGTGCCAGCCATCTTAAGTTAACTTCAAAAAGTTGTCTAAGGGGCCACTCCTACATGAAAGGAAGACCGCTTAATCCTATAATGGTCTCTCTTCCTCTCACAGACCTCTCCATGCGTCGTCCCTGCAGGGGCACAGTAATTAAATCTCAGCTCCATTCAACCAGGCATGTGGGGAGGCGTGTGAGAGACCATTACAGGATTCAGCGGTCTTCCTTTCATGTAGGGTCTGCCATGTTTGATCCTTGGATCAGTTGTTACTCGGATCTTCTATTTTGAATGGCCCCTCACTGAAAAGCTTACAGGTCTTAAGAATACATTTCTATATTTACTTCCTATCACAGGCATAGCCTCTTCTTTCTACAAACCATGTACCTTTCCCTTCTCATTGCACTTTTCCAGCCACTCCAGTAGTTGACCAGTCAGATGCAGGACCTCAGTGGACTTTCTGATGGACAAAGAGGTCCAGGTGGCCAAGACTTGAACCAGAGGAATGACCAGCATACCACTGACCAAAGGTGGTAGATTATAGCCACTGGTCAGCACATGGACCCCTGGGAAATACAGATGATGAAATGGAATATATGAGATATAAAAAATAATAATAATAATAATAATAATAATAATAATAATAATAATAATAATAATAATAATGATGATGATGATGATGATGATGATGATCCTGAGTTTGTGAATGTATTTTTCTGTTTGTTTTATATAAATATCATTTGTAAATTAACATTCCTTTGGATTACTGATGCTGTATTGAAATGGTGAGATAAAATGTAAAGTTGTAATCATTTATAACCATTTTTAAATAATAAAAAAAAAAAAAGACATAGCCAAAAATAGCAACTAAATACATGACTGAAGGGCCTTAAGCATCATATATACAAGGAATTAATGCATTATTCATATTGAATATACAGACACAGAAGGCCAGAGTTTACAATGAGATCATCAACAAATCAAATATTTGACTACACCTTGTTTTCTTAGAATATTTCTAATTCTGTATTTCTTTCTTAGAAAAACATGCAAACATGAAGACCCCCAGATGTTCTTGCACCATTTATAAAATAATGCATTTCTGCTCATTATGAGCAACTAATCACAAGACTTACCCTGAGACAGATTTAATTACAATCAAATCCCCCGATAAAACTATAATTAAAGACATGAAGATGAAACAAAGGCTAAAACTGAACAACAGCACTCTTTTGACTGATATTCTTTTTTCAGTGCTGGTATGCAAATTTTCTGATCACTAATTGCAATCTAATTCTTCATAAGATCATTCCTAATCATGTCATTTTCATATAATAATTCTTTTAGAAAGATTAACTCATTTTTGAGCACAAGGCTTAAAGATTTTTAATCAGTACTTATCAGTGCTGTGTGTGTGTGTGTGTGTGTGTGTGTGTGTGTGTGTGTGTGTGTGTGTGTGAGTGTTCTGCATGCATATCAAAGGAAATCCTCTAATAAAAAACTTTGAGTTAAAGTACACGCCTTATTCTATGGCTGCTTCAACAATGCAACCCATATAATTTTTAACCTACTTATACGTAACCTTTGACTTGATAATGAAGCAAATGTACAACTCTACAAAACAATTCTATATTTATTCCTTCAAAAATACATGTATTTCCTGCTTCTGTGTACCAGATATAGGAGCATCTGCCACAGCATTGTGCCCAAGTTTCCACTAAGTCTGCACTGTCCAATAAACATAAACATAATACAGTACCATTCATGTGTATTGCAATCTAAATTCACACCCACCAGAACCACAAATTGAGGCTTTTAGCTACTCCATCAATTTACCTTTTTGTAGGCTGTAGTTTTTCATCCACTTAGTGTGATGTATCAGCATCAATTTGTTTGACAATAATCACTTAAGCAGAATGGTGGCATGTTTGTTTAGGAAGGTTAAAGCCATTAGACCCAAACTGACAGGAAAATGATAACCAACATAACTAGTCAATATACATATGTGTTAAGTGAATTTCAGAGAAAAGTTTTAAAATGATAATAAAGTTTTGCTCAGTAACCAACATAACTAGTTAATATACATATACATATATATACATATGTGTAAAGTGAATTTCAGAGAAAAGTTTTAATTTTTAATCTCTAAGGCTTCTGAGAAATTGTGTTGACCTCCAATGAGTAGTATTTCACTTTAAAATAGAAGTATGCCAATTTCAGAGAATAGTTTTAAAATGATAATGAAGTTTTGCTCATTAACCAACATAACTAGTCAATATATGATATGTGTTAAGTGAATTTCAGAGAATAGTTTTAAGATGATAATAAAGTTTTGCTTGGTTACCAACATAACTAGTCAATATATATATGTGTTAAGTGAATTTCAGAGAAGAGTTTTAAGATAATAATAAAGTTTTGGTCGGTAACCAACATAACTAGTTAATATACATATATTTGTGATAAGTGAATTTCAGAGAATAGTTTTAATTGTTTTTTAGTTGAATTATGTTGAATTAAGATGGCCAGTGTTTCACTTTAAAATAGATGTGATGTGAATAGAAGTGTGCCAACATTAATGCACCAATAATCCATAACAGTCATGTCCTCAATTAAAAATGTTACAGTATAACATTGTATTCAAAATTAAATTCAAACTGTTTTCATCAATAACAAAAAATACAGACATAAATAAAAAGAATAAAACATTCTAAGGAACTAAGTGCTAAATCCCATGTGTCTAACATGAACATTTCAATTACGATAATGGCACCAGTATTTTAAGTGTTATTTTTGCCAATCAAAGAAAACTGCATTTCTTCAGCACAGTTGCCTTTATTTTTAATCTCTAAAAGATGTTACCTTTTACGAAAAAGACAATTAATGACAAATAATAAGATTTGTTTGTTATCTCCTCTTCAACAAAGAAACGCAAGCAAACAGAACATAAAAGATGAGATATTTACATACAATTACTGAGAGGATTTTTCTGAGTCTATTCTCCTTCTTGCTACAGAAATCGATCCATTACAATGAAACATAAATCTAACAAGATTACGGCCTTATTTCCTTTTTAAACCAATATCAAATAGTAGCCAAGGAAATAACTACAAATGGCATATTCTGCTGACTTCCTTTGAAAAACAATGCATTTTCGTTCTGTGATAGATAGGTAACTGAGTCAGAATATAGTTACACAATTCATTATGAAAGAATTTATGTAAAGACTGTCTGGATGGAGCCAGATAACTTTTTGAACCAGTCCAGAGGATTAAATGGCATTTTCAATTCAACCTATATCTAAAAGAATAGGATTAAAACAACATTTGACAATTATCTGGAGGATTGAAAGCAACCCCACTGAAACCTGCATGGCCCTTGACATGAGGGTGATATACTGTGTGCCTGGGTCGAAGATATAAATCCAATAGTGGCATTTTGATTTAACTAATTGTGTTAGCAAGGGATACTTCTGATGATACAAATACTTTTTTGCACTTCATTCCAACTGAAGTATGTTTAAATTTCATTATTAATTTTTTTCTTTAATTCCTACCAAATTTTGTCCATACATACCTAATTTTAGCACCTCAGCAATATACAGTTGAGGAGTACTTCCAATAAGAGAGAACAAAGCAAGCACCACTCCAGTGTTATGGAACACCTGAAAGAAAAATTGGTTATGACACTGGATAAAGGACAATAACTAGACTATTTTTATGGTAAACAGAATATAGTTTATGATATTAAACCATTGCTTCTTTGATATTATTTTAATAAAAGCAAAATCCAATAAACAACTGTGTTGAGTTACCAAAATCAATCCTAAGCAAAAAATAAATAAATAATAATAAAAATAATAAATAAATAAAAATAAAAAACCATCTAATGTGAGCTGTGGCATTCTACCTCAGGGTGTCTCTGAACAACTCTTATCAGTAGCCGAAGACATGCTGAGACGTCCAGTCCAGATGTTATGAGATGGCCACACAAAGTGACCAGGTGGGAGGTGACCACTGGCAGGACACTCTGGACAACAGTGGGCGGAGCATTTGTATCTATGTGCCAGGCCAAGGTGGTCAGATATTCCAGTGTTTCTTCTTGTTGGGAGAGAGGGTATATCTGGGAAATAAATGGTCAAGATTCAAGATTCCAATCATACTGGACAGCTTCTAAGGGTACATTCAGAACAGTGGACCAACAGAACTGTGGATCAAATATGGCCAACTCACTTGAATGCTTGTTGCGTAATCTCTGCAGGAATCTATTCAGTGTCTAATTGGGAATGAAGCGGCAAGCTTTTTAGTGGGTCATCATACTTGATCCTTGGATCTCTTGATCCACTGTTCTGAATGTGCTTTAAGACCCTAAATTTTAAAATGGTATCTTAAATATATCTTCTTCAACAAAAAGGCTAACATTTAGCATTTGAAAAATATAGGGCCCCGGTTATCTTTTATTGTATCCGTTTAAATAATGAGCAATTTTCTTTATGGAAATGGTGGAAAGAAAGGGGATTATTACTGGCAGAGCCAATGGGTGGTGTTTGTACATTTCAATTTTGAACTTTTGTAAGTACTATCATCCACAAAAGACTGCCTGAGAAAAAGTAATGCTATTTTATAAAACAAAATCAAGATTTAGCTGGTATGCTAAAATATCAACATCAAGTACATTCTAGAGATATTTTTGAAAAAATAAAACAAGCTTTAAATGATACCAAGCAGTAGTGTTGTTATTAATATGATCCTTAATGAAGAAACACAAAATATGGCGTTAGGTAAGAAAATGCCTTTCTGAACCATCTAATTATCCCAATCAACTGATCAAATGAGGACATTTACACATATAAAGTGTCACTGTTAAGCAGATAATTACTGTATAAAAACCAATCCCAATTAAGATGGTCACCTGTAATCTGCCGTTTCTCATCTAAGAAAGCTTAAGTTACCGCAAATTGTTCCAATTACTACTTTTAAGCAAACTAGTTATTTACCTACACAGATAACGATGGCTGGCACACATAAAAGTATTAAACAAAGAAAATCCATGAAACAGATACAATGTCCCTTGATATGGGTATTTATAAATGAAAGAAAAAAAGAAAAAAAAGATTTTCCAAAATTTTAACAATTTTCACCTCAACAACAGGTATGGCCTGTATTAAAAAAGTACTATTAACTGTCTTTTCACTATTCACAAGCACTTGATCATATATTTAAGTTGTTATCAATTGAACACAGCATGTTATATCCTATACCAATGCTGTGAGCAACAATACAACAGAAATTCAATGGGTATAAAAAAAGAGGATGAAAACCATCCCATTCAGACGTATTCAAGCTATAAGAAATACAAAATCTGACAAAATGTTAGTTATGAGTATGAACAAAAGATTTTGTGGTATTGAATTGAATTTTAGTAAAATAAAATGATTCTGTATCAACTATAATTTACAATGAGCAACAATCATGACAGGAATTTTTTGTCAACAGGGGAGTGTGTGTGGGGGGGGGGGGGACCTCAGGGGATTTTAGGAAAGTGAAATCAGTGGAATCACCTCAATTTTCTGAAATCCTTCCTGGAGCAGCTAGGGGGTAATTAAGCCGAGTGCACAGGAAAGTTAAGCTGATTCCACTTACAAAACGCATCCGTTAATCAAAAATGGCAATTAATGTCTGAAGTCAGAAGTTACGTAAACATTACCCTCACCAGAAGACATGGCACAATATCCCTGAGAAACAGGTACAGATGTATTGCATCTTCTTCTGCCAGCTGTCCACACACGTGTAACAGAGTGGTCAACAGTCTGGACTTCCACTGACCGCTCCTCTCACTGACCGTAGGGGAGAGGAAAACATGCTTGAAGAATGGTACGAGTAAGGTTAATCCATTCTGCCTTATGCTAAAATAAAAATAATTATGAATTGACATTTATTCTGAATAAAATATTCACACATATCTTATATGTATATCAAAATGCTGTTACTTTCTTGTCTATGCCTTAAACTTTTAGCAAGTAAGATAAGCCCACTTCATAAAACAGTTTAAAATAATTTATCGTGTTTACTTTTTAACAATGAAAGAGTAACAATCTTATTTCATCATATCTATTTACGATTTGTGTAATTGGACTCCTCATTACTTTATTTCCCAGTTTTCAAAAAAATTAATACTTCTACAGATATGTATTTTACATGGTTTTGAAATGTCTATGAATGAGATATCCAATTCCCTGTAATCTCAAGTCATAACAGTATATTTAACCTTCTAGTGGTTTGTGTCTGATAAAGATCAAGGCTTGTTATTTGTGTTATTTCATAAAATTCAAAGCATCCAATGACCTTTTAGATAACAAAAGACAACAGAGTAGAAATGAAAAAATTCAGGTATAATCCTCTGATCAACCCTTGATTAACCCTTGTGTATTTATCTAAAAATTAAACTTAAGCACACACTAATCAGAAGTACAAGCCCCATCGTTTGCTTTCCTTGAATAATGCCATCCTGCCAAACAATACTTTGTCATGTGCTGGTAGATGAAATATTTAAACATAAACACTAAAGGCAAATGACAGAGGACCTAATTAAGAAATCTAAATACCACTAATGTGGATCAAAATCTCTCTCAGAGTGGCAACAATGAATTCACTCAACTATGGAAGCTGTTCACGTCTGTACACATCCATTAAAGCAGGGCAGTGTTGACTGTAGTGAGACAGTGGCAGGAGACAGAGAATGATGGACCAAGATTTCTATAAAGAACACATACAATATGCCCATGTTGACTGAGATCAGACATTTCCTCCCATGTTTCTAAATGTGCAAACACCTGCGAAATAAAGACAACTTGACATCAAAGGCAAGAAACCGAGTCAGAAAAAATAAAAATCTCCATTTCTTCACAGTAGGCTCAAAATCAATCAATTTCAATGAATATGATTCCAGCCAGGCATGTAACAACAATGAACCAATCTTGCTGTCGTGGCCTAGTCCTGAAATGCCACTGAAGAGGCAATTTACATGGGCTTCCTTTAAAACATGTCCTAAACCAGATATGTTATGCTGCTGTTCTAAACCAGCAATGTTTGTACTAGAGTAAATGAAGATGAGTTAAACAATAATAACTCTTCCTTTGAGATTCAAAATTCCGCATGAAATACATTGTAAACAACGCATGGAAATATATTCTATTGTATTTTACCACTAAAACGGCCGTTATTGTAGGAAAACTAAAATCTGTGCTTGTCAATAGGGCTTTCGATGCCTTTTTTCCGGTCGTCAAGGCATTCGTTGCTAATGACGTAATGGTGTCACGCGGATTCTCGCGTTCATTCGAGACCAAAATAACATGGCGCCAAACGCATTAGTGCAGACACAGACGTAAGTTGCGAGTTTTTGTACAGTGCGTCGGATAACGAAAAGCCCAAAATGGCACACATTGTGGATATTAATGCATTTTTAACAAAAAGACGAATATATCTCATGAATCTTAAATAGTGTTGTTGTTGTCTGCTTTTCCCGCGGTTTTAAGTAGGTCACCAGTGACTTTGCAATGTCAGAGAGAGCTCCGTCAGTTAAAATCTCTTAAGAGATTTTAACAAAAAACCGTACGTTTAGGAAAAAAACCCTGGATTAACTTTGAATGCAGGAATGGGGTCGTTGACCACTGGTAAGTACGGGAAAATTGCCGTTTTTACCAGGAAAATCCAATTTTTGGCCAAAACGAAGAGTTATTATGACTTTAACTTGATTCAATGGCTAACTTTGCTTTGGCAAGATAAACACTAAATTATAAGTTGGATGCCATAAAATTAACAAACTATGTCTTTAATTAGGCTAAAGAGTATATTCTAAAACATTTGCCAACTCTACCCTACAGGTATGCACCTGGAAAAGTCACTACACATTACAAATAGTTAAATCAAATTTTGTGTGTGTGCGCACGCATGCGCACGCGTGTGTGTGTGTGTGTGTGTGTGTGTGTGTGTGTGTGTGTGTGTAAGTACTCCATAAATTGAAGACTATCAATTGACCAAAATCTAATTGCATGACAACATATTCTAAACTCAAAACAATATATTATCGATATATTTCTTCCTACCTTTAATAATAGTTAGTCATATTCATGGTATGTGTGGAAATTATTTCTGATATTTTAAAAATCATATCCATAAAAGATCATCATATCTGAAAATTTTACCCACTTGGGTAACTGATTATTTTCACCCTTGCCAAGTGATTAATAAGCCCATATATAATAATAAGTCTCACTAGTGAAAAAACATGGACTCTATATAATATCCAACAGAAGAAACCAGTTCAAAATTGCTCAAAATGATGGTCTGTGTGAACTGCTCCCCTATGATAACATTTAATTTTAATAGGGAAATACACCATTAACCTCACCACTGGGTGTATCTTAAAGTTATGTACCCTCTCTATAATATTTATCCCAGAAAAATTGATTTAAAAAAGAAAAAAAACTGCCCCATGTCCAGTGCGCAGCAGTATCATGTCTCTGTAATCAAATACCACAAAATAATTTGCAAATAGGAAGTGATTGCTTGATTAATCGTGTTGGTATGTTTTAGTTGATGAAAAAAAAAATCACCTTATAAAAAAACCTGTATCTCTTTTCACTGCAAAGTAATAATCTAAAAACTTCCCCAGCGTCCTCTCTCCAGGGAGGTCAACACAGGTGGTGGAGATCAATTTCTGTCGCCTTGAACACTATGACCCTGACTCGAACAACATTCACGACTTCCTACTATTCTCTCCACTATTCAGCTGTCCAGGTTGTTGGGCAAACACGTTTTTAAAGTTGTAGAAATCATAAACTGACTAAAATTAAATAAATAAAGATATGCCATTTAACTCAACTAAATTAAAATTAGACACTGACAAAGAAGAAACATGCTATCCCAAACCCTGCGTGATATCTCTTTGCATGTTTCTGGTTTTGGCAAATGGATGGAATAAAAGATTAAAATAATAACAGCTGCTGGGAAACATACCAAGTAGACAGATTATTGAAATTATCCCACAGACAAAAGGATAGTTACAACTAGTCATGTATTTCGCTTATACATTCGCCTATATTTTAATACGCTTTTGTTTGTTCATCCTTTTGTTTAAAATGCCAGCCAAGGAATAAGTCCCTTACAACTACTTGGGCCAACTGTATACAACAAAACAAAAGCAAATTATAATGCAGTCGATCTACACTATTGCCACTATTGCCATGGCCTACAGTTTCAGACCCGTAGCCAGGGGGGGTACAGGAGGTTCGAACGAACTGCCCTTTTGCCGGGAAAAGGTTCCCTCTGGGTAAAATTTAACTAGGTACACATCGATTTCATAGTAAAAGATTCTCTTTCTGGAAAAAAAAGAACCCGCTTTTGCAATTGCTGGCTATGCCCCTGAGTTTACTATCGAAAAAAAAAAAAATCATAAGTTTCATTTTGACAAAATCTTAGGGGCTTGGAGGCCATGAATCCATACGAGTTTAGGATTCCATACGGCTACTGCCTTCCTCCACACGAACACGACATGGATATATGGGTAGTGTACATGCACATACAGACATCACATGGCAAATGTACCCTAGGCTATACTAAAACTTCTTGATCATAGTGGCACTGAAAGGGTCACAGCTTGGTGTCAACAGGGCATAAGTGTTTCTACATGTCCCCCCCCCCTCCAAAAAAACTTAGAGCACATTCTGATAGAGATATCGTACTAGTTGGGTTCATCCAACTCAGCGGGTGATTCTAGGAAAGTGAAATCAATGGAATCAGCTTAATTGTCTGACATCCTTCCTGCAGCAGCTAGGGGGGGAATTAAGCCGAGTGCACAGGAAAGTTAGGCTGAACGTGTGATGTGTTTATCCAAATGTCTCTTCGAGTAGTGACACTATCAAAACAGACAATATAAATATCAAATGAGACAAACCTTTATTTCCCAAAAGTGGCATGCATCATAATTCAACAAATACTGGAATGTAGTTTTAAAAACAATATATAATCAACACTGACAATGCACTTCTTTTCATCTTGGCTAAAATCCAATAGTAAAATATCAATCCATACAAGCATGGCCCTTTCCATGAACTGATTTTCACTTCTCCTTATCAACCTTGATCAGAATGTTACATCTATTACGTCATTATAATCTAGAACAAAATAACATTTCCCCAATGCTTTCAAAAACATGGTTATTCAGGCAATCAATTCTCCCCTTAAATTGCTCTTTCTACATCTCCAATTATGAAAAACACATCCTCAAGTCTACTTAACAGTTCGGTCCGTACCACTCTCATATTCTATGAAACCAAATTTAACCAAAAATCATTAACCTTCTCTTCTAGCCAGCACCAAAAGCATGCTATCAAATTCTATTTCATTTGATTTACCTAAATGATTACATAAAACCCACAATTCTTGAAGGGGCATGCAAAAGGGTGATGCATGATTAAACATGACATAGTAACGCAACACTTTCAGCATCCACAATTTTACCTCATTTACTATCAAAACAACAACACCAAGTAAAAGGTCTTCGTGATGCGTCTACAGCATTAGGCTGTGGTTTGCCATACAGAGACTGTCTGATATTTCAGGAACTTTGCACAACTTTGATGTTGCTGGTTTAACCAGCAGTAATAAATCATATTTTTTTACACATCAGTGAGAGGAAGTTGATAAATAGCTATCCTAGCTGGCAATCTTCCTCCCCAAGGTCTTGGCCATAGACAGATCCGCTAATTAACTGGCATATGCATAGGCAGCTTTACAAATCTGTGGACATGTAGTAACAAGTTTCTGTAATTCACAGATTTTTTAAAAAATAATTTCCGATATTTAAACACCTTTTTTTTATTAATACACATATTATTAATTAAAA